GCAGATATTGAATTATTATGTTGAGAGAGTTGAGCTCGTGAAGTCAGTTGTATTTTCATTGAAAATAGTAGAAATTCGAAATAGAAATCCTTTAATTCTAGACATAATGTAGGGAAGGGTGAATCACTATAAAATTTGTGTCTATTATCATAGGGTGAACCAATATCATAATTTATTGAAAATATTATAGTGAGGAATAGAGTGACTAAGACAATCAAATCAATGAGAATTCATAAATTATAATATGAGTAAGAAAGCTCACTTTGCCTACTATGCATCTATGTATAAACTAAATAGAACATTTGAATAGATTGGACAAATAATCAATAAATTAAATTTAGATTATTCATTTTCATGTATAAAATTTATTAATATTAATACTTATATTTTAAACATAATTTTAAATATTAAAATTTATTGAAGTTATGATTAAAATTATTAAGATTGTGATTAAGGTGTCTACTTGAAAATTGTACTTTATTTGACATAATTCAAATGAGATTTGATTGTTAAATCACCATTTTAGTTGGACACATTAGTGATTTATGTTATAATGAGATTAGCTTTTTACCAATCATGATAGAATTAATACACTTCGAATATAAATGTTACACTTTGATAAGACTACATATTGGCTTTCCCTTTGATGATATATTCAATGTATATGTCATATTAGCTTCTTAGTCATTTAAATTTCTATTTCTTTTAAGAAATGTAGATGTTAGAATTTCACATAATTTGAAAATATTTTCATTCTTGATTTACTTATAAATACTATGACTTTCTAATGATTAGTTGGCAAAGAAAAATCATCTTTATCTCCTCTTTGACCTTAAGTTTTATGTTGAGTTCTTTCATACAAAATCTAGAATGAGGTCATGAGGTATCTATTGGCTCATTAAATATGTGAAAACATTGAATCAAGGAACATTCGTTAAGCATTAAGTAGTCTTCCTTGACTTGCTCACAACTACAACACTTCATCAAAGTATGCATATAGGACATCGAAAATTAAGTCTCAACCATCTCACTCTTAATCAAAGTTTTTGAGATACGTTTTGATGACATCATCTATAGAAAAAAGTATGCAAACTGAAATATTTCATATTAATTTTTGGATAAATATATGAATATTATTTTTCTATCACTTGAATAGGTTGAACACATTGATTAGTTATTAGTTTTGAATCTAGAAAAAAATAGAAATAATTTTAATAGAGTTGAACTCAAAAATATTTTTGATTGTGATGGGATGATTGACATGACTTAATAATTGTATAATAAATCACGATTTTAAAATTTATAAAACTAAAAAAATAATTTTAATTTTTTAAAAGTATTTTAGCATAAATAAATAACTTGTAATTTGATAAAAGGTTCTAAAAATTGTAAAAAATTCTAGATCGATCAAAAGATATAAGATAATATCAGGTAAAATTACAAAAATTTCTACAAAGAATATATTTTTTTTAACTTTTACACTAAATGATGAAGAGAAAATTTATTTTAAAATTTACAAAAAGCAAAATTTAGGTGCAGACGTCATGATGACATCAATGCCTTGATGAATGTAATTCAAGCAAAAATAGAGTTATGCTTGGCGATTCTTATGTAAATAATTATAAAAAAATTAATTGATTAAATTAAGATTTATAAAAGTTAGAAGAATTATAATTGACTAAAGAAGAGTTTTGAAACTTGAAATTACATATAATATTATTAATTTAACAAATTTTAAGTTTTTTTTAAAGATATAATTCCAACATTGTAGCGATGACCATTGGAGTTTTAGGTATTCGAGAGATTTTTTGTCTAGTGTCCATAGCCTTAAAGCTCTCATTAGACATTCATGATGTGAGCAATCTATTGATCATCTTACGTAGTTTAGAAATTGATGAAATAGACCAACGAATCATCTTTGATGGCTATCACCTAGCAAAATAGAAATTCAACAGTTTTTGGATCTCCAACAATTGCCACTCGGTAGAGATGAGCTACATGAAGGTGATGTGCATTTCAAGGAGCTTCTTTCTCAAGTCCATGAGTGAGAGAGGAGGCTTGTATCACATTCAATTTTGCTTTGAGGTATTGACTTATTTCATGACGAATTGTCTTCTTCTCAATGATGACTTATTTGTCGATTAATTAGAGATGATTTTCTTAAAGAATTTATGATTTTATATTTAAAATCCTTGGTCAATTGTTAACGATGACCTACAAATAATGTTGAAAAAATTTTCATACAAAAAATTCTATTTGCTAGATTGTTAATCAACAATTTATAAAAAAGTTATCATTTAATTAAATAAAAAGATGAATTTTAACTTTAGTAGGATATGAGCCCTCGTTCATTGCTCAACTAAGTAAGAGAGAGAATATGAATTACCTACATACCCTTACCTAGTGATGTAATAGGAAATTTCTTTCTTATAAGTTAGGGATATGTTTGATATAAAAAAATGAAAACTTATATAGATCATTTTCTAATGTTTAAGTCACATACATATCAATATGTCTTTTTGTCATCAATGTACTCTGACCACTTTTTTACCTCACATCCGACTAGTCATTGATGATGTGAAAGGAGAGTGACACACACATGTCCAAATCAGTCAATCACTTGAGACCCTTACTCGTGGCTCCGCCTAAATGTGCCTCCAACCCATACATGGGCATGACTAGCTAATGGGTATGCCTTTTTTTTAATTTTTATTTTATTTTTATTTTTATTTATTTCATCTCAAAAATATGATTATAAATTATATAAATTCATATAAATTATTTAAATTTATATAATAACCAAAATTCACATTAATAAACTAAAAACAAACTTTTTCAATTTAACATAAATATAAGTCAATTTATCATGAGTTAAGGTTTAAAATATATTATTAATTAATTGTTAACTCATGATAATGAAGACTTATTAATAATCAATCTTAGTAAAACTCAAGAAAGATTATTTTTAGATAGTGAATGTAAATAATAGACTTAACTACTTTAAATATTTCTTAATATTACACTTATTAATCTAAGACATCAATATAATTTGAGATTTTAAAGAAAAGATTAATGTATTCAAAGGAAGTAAATTAAAATTTCAGATTATAATTAGATCAAATCAACCCCAACATCTTGATTTATATGTCACCTTAGACCCAATAATTTATTAAAAGATGTTTACATCAACATGTCTTTGAGCTATTTTAGTAAGAGATTTCTTTTTTATGATAAATGTTTCTGCAAATTACAAAAGTTTATTTATGATTTTATGACCAGCATCTAGATAATAGTATTCAAAATTATCCAATGATTTTTTTCAAACCTCTTCATTTTCAATCTCAACATCAGATCATTGATGTCTTCATCAAGAATTTCCCAACTAGTATGTTATTTCCTTTGTTGTCTAAGATGAGTGTTGAAAACAAATATTATTGATCTTGATGGGGAGACTTAAGGATCAGACAAGTGAGAGTAAATATGTATGAGACCCATGTGTTAAGGAGACAAACGCTATAAGTAGATTCAATTTTATGATTTTTTTTCTCTTCATCATCATAATATACTCTCCCCTAATTCTATTTATCCCTTGCTTGCCCTCCCTTCCCCCTTCTTTAGTTCATCCATTATTCAATTTTTTGTCATTTTATAGGGATCTTTGCATAAATTACTCACATATTTTTCTTTTGTAGTTTTTTGTGTAATTATAAAAATACATCTATAGAGGATGTGGCCTATATAAGCAAACATACTTTACAACATGTGTCCTTGATATACATGAATTATTTTTTTGATTAATTTTAAAAAGTTAATTAGGATATATTCCTCACCTCTTTCGATGAAGTACATATGTTCGGTATTTTAAGCAATCAGGGACACTTTCCTAACTGGTTGTATAATCCATAAATGACAACACTATTTTTTTTATCATTATAAGGATATTATTGTCTTCTAAAAAAGGTAAAGCAATTCACCTCAAAAAACGAGCGTAGACTATTCAAATAGGTTGTTCCATAAAACGAGTAGTTTTTAAGGACCCTTTTATAATTAACCCAAGTACACTATGCCGATCTCTCTTTTATGGAATTTCCCCCCTTCGCAATAAAAATGAGTTCCGGGAATTCTTTTTATGAGGAATAATGCGAGATGGCCCGGTCCGATTCTGGAGGAACGGGTTCCGTCGGTTGCCACCTCGGATCTGATCTGGATCCTTTCTAGTCCCCGGGTCAACGGACCCGTTGGTCCACAGAGTTGACTGACTGGCCTGTTAAACTTGGATTAGATTCTTTGGGTGGGTTCGCCGCGGCCTTCAATGGTGATGAAAGTGGGGCCCACCTCTAACGAACGGGTCAACATGATGAGAGCCTTCTCCATGTCGTTGGCTGACTCTGATTCTGTTTTGAAGGTGTACGGTTCAGATGAGGGAACGCGGGATTCCCCAAATAAATCCGACCCTACGTTCGGGGAGAGAGAGAGAGAGAGCCCGATTCGTAAGGAAAGTCCCTCTCTCTCTCTCTCTAAAGAGCAGCTGGGTTTTCTGCGTTCCCCTGGTTTCACAGCCCGCCCAAAATTTCGCCTTTCTCTGTACGTTTCCCTCCTCCCGCCCTTGTCCCGCCCCGTCTCTCGGCTTTGTTTTCGGGTCACTGGCCGCTGCCCTCTCTGCCTCTCTCCCTCTCTCTCGCTCCCCCCCTGCGACCCGCCTTATCCTTCCTCAGGTCTCCTCGAGTCTCCTCCCTCCTTCCACCCAGTAGCCCTAATAACCCTAGGGTTGGCGTCGGCGCGCGGTGCTCCTCCCTGGATCGCGAAGTGGAGGGGAGGAAGGAGGTGCCCCAGGATGGAAACGGAGCGCCCAGTCGCTCCTCTTTTTCCCGACAAGGTGTCTTCCTCAGACCTCTCTCTCTCTCTCTCTCTCTCTACAAATAGCTTCTGATTTCTTCCCCGTCGCAAGGGCCGAAACCCTTTGCTGCAATTTTCCTCATCTTCATCTTTTGTTTCCTTGCATGCAGAAGCCCGAGCCCGTTGACTTCCGGGAGAACAAATTGGCGTTGTGGAGATCCCCGGAGGCTCCGCCGCCGATCGTAAGCCCCCTTGGCCAAAATTAGCATCCTTTTGTCTGTCTACTTTCTGAAACTCATCACGGGGATCGCCTCGCGGATTCCTGCTCTCGGCTCGCAGGGTGCGGCTCTGGAGAACCTCGGCAATACGTGCTTCCTCAATGCGGTCCTCCAATGTGTTGCCCACACCGTCCCTCTCCTGCAGAGCCTCCAGTCGCCACCCCATCCGTACCCTTGTGCCGGCGACAGAGGTTTGCGCTCCTCTCTCCACTCTTCCGTCTACAGCTTTCATACTAAATTTTGATCTGTGGGTTTTCCATAGCGCACTAGGGTTTCGTTTGCGTCAGCGTCAATGATGATTACAGCTATTTATTTCTAAGTTTGACTTTTGAGATAATTGGAAATTGAAGGCACCTTCTCTGGCGAAGAACCGAGCTTCTGCTCCCTCTGCGCGCTGAGGCAGCACATCGACGTATGCATGCATGAAGATGCGAATGTTGTCAAGCCGTGTGGGTTTGTCAACAATCTGAGCAGTATCCTTCTTTTACATGCGCACATGATCCGTGTCCCCGAAGCAGATCTCCCTGTGAGCTTCATCAGAATTTTGTCGGTTTTTTAACCGTTTAGGTTTACAGACTTTTTGGAAATTTAGCCTCCAGATTGCCTGCTGATGCCCGTATGTTTAGGAAGTCTCATCGTCATGAATTCTTTGAATCTTTTGATTTATTTGGACGTGAGCCTTCCGGAAATTTTCAACTAGCTAACATCTTTTGGAATCATCTGAATTTTTCGGTTCAAAATGTTCATTTTGGAGAACTTTGAAGAAGTCCACACTGTTTCAATTATTTGAACTTTTTGGTTCACATGGATGTGGGTCCGGAGGAAATCATGTTGATTTTTTAGATTATATTCTCAAATAAATTGACCTTTTATTATATGGATAACGGATGATTAAATATTTAACTCACATGTTTTTGAATTATTTAGGTTTTTTATCACTTTTGAATTTGAGCTTTGAGGAATTATTTATGCAATGAATTATCTGATTTTTTAATTTCTTATAAAAATGGGTTTCAAAGAACTGTCCAATATACTTGCATGTTTTCAAAATTATTCAATTTTCTGGCCTTTTTATGGATTTGGGCTTCAGAGAATTATCTAAGCATACTTTGATATTTCCAAGATTAATCAAACTTTTGGGCTCTTACAGACGTGGGTGTTGGAGAATTACTCGATCAACTTTAATATTTTGAAAATTATTTGAATCCTCTGAGTCATCATATGGACCTGGGGTTTCCGATAATTATCCTTTTTATTAATCCACACATTTTCATAATTTCTCGAGTCTACAAACATCGCACAGTTCATCAAGTGTCGTGCTTGTGAATTATTTTGTGTTGTTTATCAACTTGGGTGGGATGGCAGTATTCCTTCACTCGATGGCCATCAGATATATCGTCTTCGTTCAGCAGATATCAGCAGGAGGATGCCCACGAATTCCTTCACTGCCTGCTGGATCACCTCCACACCAGCTGCCTTGACCCCCCTCCAGGTGACAGTGCCTCCTTGTTGCAGAAGACCAGCCTCATCAAGAGCACCTTCGGGGGCCGCTTGAAGAGTCAGGTACCCACTCCTTGCACCATCCTTTGAATTTTGCTAAAGAAAGAAAGAAAGACCCATTATTAATACATTTCTTCTTCACAATGAGGAGAGATGGAGGACAGAATTGATTCGCGGACTCTTTAATGCACACGTAATATATATGTAATAATACTATTCATAAAGAGATGAAGTGAACACCGAATCTCAGAAATGATCCGAAAAAATTCTTATAATCATTGCTTTGTGTTCCGTGAAGATGGGAAATAAAGAGCATTGTTGTGATATGTGATCTTTTGAAATATTTTTATTTATGTTATATATCTGATCTATGAAAAACATGAAGTGAACACTAAGAAAAAGGATGGAAGTGATTGAAGGAAAATGGTAACAGTAGTATTTTTTTTGTTCATGAAGATGTGTGTGTGTGTGTGTGTGTGTGTGTGTGTGTGTGAGAGAGAGAGAGAGAGAGAGAGAGAGAGAGAGAGAGAGAGAGAGAGAGAGAGAGAGAGAGATGAAGGAATGATGAGGAAAATCAGTGGCAACATGCTCATGAGATGCGATCTGGTGGAGCTTGTTTCAGGTTCAGTGCTGCGATTGTGGGCACAGGTCGGACACTTATGAGCCATTGCTCGATCTCAGCTTGGAGATTGAAGATGCCGGGAGCCTGGAGGAGGCCCTGGAGTCCTTCACCAAGGTGGAGAAGATTGAAGATCCAGAGATCAAGCTCACCTGCGAGGGGTGCGGGGGCCGGGTGTCTGTGGAGAAGCAGTTCACCCTGGAGCAGGTGCCGCCAGTCATAGCCCTCCACCTCAAGAGATTCAAGAGCAATGGGTACTTTGCCGATAAGATTGACAAGTTTGTGAAGTACCCAACAGAGCTCGATCTGAGGCCATTCCACAGCAACCCCAAAGCCGAGGTGGAGACCACTGAATCTTTCTCTGGTTCCTATTGTTTTATATACAATCTGTTCATAAGACTTAAAAAAGTTTTCTGATTTGCGTTGAAGGGGGAGCTGAGGTACGATCTCTATGCGGCGGTGATGCATCAGGGCTGCTCATCTCTTTACGGGCACTACTACTGCTTCATCCGCCCCTCCCCGGATTCATGGTTCATAATGGATGACGAGAAGGTGGGTATCATTGATTTTCCACCAAATTTCTCCTCGAGCCCGAATGATTTCTCTTTACGACGATTCTTAAAGAGAGAATCTTTTAAAGGAATTCCTGTGAATTATTTGGTTGGTGAAGAGATTACCCCATGCGTACAGGTTTACAGAGTGAATGAAGAGAATGCCCTCACCCAGAACGCCTACATCCTCTTCTACATGAAGCGAGGGACTCCCTGGTTCTCGTGCTTCGTGGAGGCTGGTAGGATGGGCGGCGGTGGGGGCTGCCCAGACGTCGGTAACAGGACCTCCCCAGTGTCAGTCGTCGATCACGTGGAGGCAGACCAGAGCTCATCTTCCTCCGACAGTGAGGACCAGGGCGAGGCGTCTGGAGCAGATGTGGAGCGGCACGCCAATGGCAGTGATGCGCCGCCAGAGGCCACCGCAGGGAGCTGGGCTTGTGGCGGTGCTAATGATGAAGCCCGTCGCCAGAGCTCGAGTCCAAGCGACTGCCTCCGAAGCGATAGCAGCCCCACCCATTGTGAGGGCTCGGATTGCCTGCCAGAGAATGAGGATGAAGAGAAAGTGGACGGTAACGGCGGATGCAGAGTATCGCCGCCCTGCACGCCCCGGCAGTCGCCCAAGGATAAGTTCTTCGATGAACCATGGGGTAATCATCTCTCTCTCTCTCTCTCTCTCTCTCTCTCTCTCTCGTTTGCTTTTTCTTTCTCTCTCTAAATAATTATATGCTGTTGGCAGAGGATGGAAAGGAGCAGCCGGCAAAGGCACAGTCGGAGAGCAAGGCGGAGAGGTCTACCGGTAGGGAGATGGTGGCGGTTGGGAGCTACCTGAGGCTGATGCCGAGGTCGAGGAGGCTGAGGCTCGAGCAGTTGATGGGCAGGGCCCCCAGCAGCAGCGCCCCCCACGAGCAGAAGAGGAAGAAGCCGAAGCTGCTGCAGCTGCACGCTGAGGGCTCACCGCCATTGCCCTCTTCCTTGCTCCACAAGCTCATCCATGCCCAAGAGGACGCCTCCGACCTCGTCATCTCCATTGACTCCGCTGTGAGAGGGGAGATGACCCACTAGCGAGAGAGAGAGAGAGAGAGAGAGAGAGAGAGAGAGAGAGAGAGAGAGAGAGAGAAGGGGAAGATATTCTCTGGGTGGGGTTTTGCAGGGTTCTACGCCGAGCAGAGATGAGGGGAGAGTTGTAACCTGCCCAAGCTGGTAAGGGTGTAGGCCAAATTTTTTTGAGCAGACTGAGCTCTTATCTGGTATGAAAAAGGGTACTGTTTTTTTTCTTTCTTCTGAAGTTGAGGTAACTGGGAAGGTGATGAAACCATTGGCGCTGATTATTCATGTGATTTTGCTGCGCTCTGATTATAGGAGCTGGGTCACCTTGCCCAACTCTCTCTCTCTCTGCTACCCTGGGAAAATAAGGAAGACGAGGCCGAGTCACACTTTAAAATCACCAAGCCTTCTTCATTCTCGGTTGTTTCACTGGGGAGAGAGAGAAAGAGATAGAGAGAGAGAGAGAGAAAGAGGGAGAGAGACAAGCTCGGGACGCGGATCTCATAGGATTCTATCCTACAACTCCGTGATGAAGCTGGTGACTAGCGATGTCAGCTTCTTCCCCGTCTCGCCGGCCATGTTTTTAATGGAGGATATGTCTTGAGATGCCTGAGAAAGAGGGGGGGAGAGATGCTGCCGGAATTAGATGTGGGTAGAGACCGCCCCTCCGTTTCCGATCTTGAGGTACCCAGAGTCTACCGTCGACATACAATCAGGAGAGGGCCACAGAGAAGAGGATGGAGAGAGAGAGAGATGAGAGAGGAGAGAGAGAATAGGAAGAAGAAGAAAAGCGCGGAACAGCATGATTATGCGCAAATCTTATTGGGAAGAGAGAGAGAATGAGGGGTTGACGGTGCTGAAGCTGCCGCCATGTATGATGTTTTCGGAGAGCGTCAGAGTTGCTGACGAGCGAGAGCGAGAGAGAGAGAGAGAGAGAGAGAGAGAGAGGAGAGAGAGATGCGAAGGATGAGATAAGCGAGGGCATGCACCGAAAACTTTTTCAAAGACATTTGGAGATCTCCCTTCCTGACTTTGACTTGTTCTCCGAAGAACTGGGACGACGAGATGGACTTTGAATTCGTGAACTTGTCTCTCGCTTCCCTGAATTCCTGGATCTGAGCAGCCTCAGAGATCGTCAGACCAACCGCATCCATCTTAATGAGAATTCAACAACAAGTTGACTTGCATCTACGACAAAAATAGAAATAAAAAAAAACAAAAAAACTCAAATTCTAGTGGTGGATGCTGCGTTGGTACAGGTGAAGATCATAATCTGAACACCATAACTCCGAGACAAGGATAGGCGAGCGAATGAAGGGAGAAAACAAAAATGGGCATTTTCCCACAACTGCTGTTGAACAAGTACCACTATTATTAGAAAACTGGGTTGACTAGGAGCAGGATATTCCACCAGAGAGCAAACGACAATCACGTAAAACCAGCCACTGCAATCAGTAGCTATACTCATGGGTCGAAGATACTATATCAACGATTATCGAGGGCATATGCATATGATGGCGCTCAAAACGTGATCTGTGTGCTATAGAATATATTGTATGCGTGGGAACCAATGAGATTCATTCATGTCAGTAGATTTTTTCACCCCCGCAAAAGTTTTCTTCTTCTGGAAATCATATACATTTCTGGAGTAATATTGGACAAACTAGCTAACACGAAGCTGGTTTCGTGATGTTTACCTGTGTCTCAGACGAGTTGGAGGTCTTCTTCTGAGATCCAAAATCTGCGAGGAAGCCTGAGGATTTTGGAGGGGTACGTGCCCGGCCACATGACTGCCCCAAGAAACAGCCTGAGCAGCTGGTGCATCTTTTTCGACGTAGCTGAGTCGAGAAGTGAGGGACGAGCCCAGGGTCGAAGTGCTGCTGTCATCTTTTGACCTTGGCGCAGTCGGTGGCTCTTCAGGCTTCTGGTCGTGGAAGCTTTCACTGGGCTGGAATCAGGAAGCTTTGCTCAGGCCAGGAAAATCTAGCCCTTGCTATATATATATTAGGCACATAAATGCGAAATATTATGCGCATGTAAGAGTATAAAATCCCACTGGGTGATGTAAAAAGTACAGAGCTCGTGTACCTTTGCAGAGAGTTTTCTAGCCCCCAGCCCACTGGTCTTGCCTGCGGCCTTTCTCGCACCAGCAGGCTTTTTAATGGAGCTGGCAACAGCCGACTGTGTAGGAGCTTTAGGTGACCGTACGACCTCCGGGGCTTCGTTCTGCTTGACAGCGATTCCTTTTGAAGCATCTTCGAGCTTAAGCGCAGGAGGTCCGTTGTCTGTAGGCAGAGGCTGGGAAGCGACTGGCGATAAGGGAGCGGCAGGATCCTCTGAGAAGCTTTTAGCAACCTCTTTAGCAAGGATCTGCCGGTATAACTCGGAGGCCCTCGATGTATATTTCGCTTCGATTTTTCCACCGTCCAACCATCCGTGCTGCTTATGGGCATCAGATCTGAAGCTGTGTGAAGGAAAAAAATAATTCTGGAGACTCTTCACAGCCCGGGGGGGGCAAATGAAATGACATGCGAGATGAAGAAAGCTTATCCAGGTATATAACATGGAAAACATCCTAGGCTGCTGCTCACTCCGATTAGATCAGCTTGCTCAACAGATCCGCGAGATCTGAAGAACATTTTTATCATCCAGATATTCCTGTTATCTGGATCACAAAAAAAATTAAGAAAGTGTTGCTTCTTTGAAGGAAAAAAGAGCGGGGATAATGGTACCAGGCTTGTTACAGAACGAGATATGATATAGATGGAAGCAAAAGCTGATAAGATCCCAAGGACACATTTTCAGCGACATGCAATTCTGACTTTAAAATGGATATAACTAACCTCATATTTTACAACAGGCTCACTGGCGCAGAAAGTATCCAGGCACTCATTGCCTCTCAGGATTTGATGTAGTATGAGGGGTTCAGTGGGCCTGAATAATGAAAACAGGCAATGCTGCTCACCTAAAAATATGTTCAAAAAGAAAGACTAGATCCTGGGGACTAGATTTATGAGGAGACCAGAGACCCAATATCTCAATTGAGGGGAAAGCCTCTCCAAAGGCTTCTGCCTTTGCTTTGAAAGGAGAGAATGCTCTAGGGTCGGAGAGTCTCCATCAAGATTAATATAATGTTATGGAACACTGTTATACAGTACCTTCTGGAAAAGAACTCTGAAGGAAAGGAACAAGTTCATATGTTTTCGTAGGGCGTAAATTGATACATTGCCCTGTTTCCTCTTAGGAGATGATGCCATTCAAATAATTTCACCCCAGGTGAGTTTTTGCAGTGATGCAGTCAAAAAAATACCCAGGTTACCACCCCCAAAGGATAAGTTATACACCTCCACTATGAGAAGTGAATGAAACTATACGAAAATTTATAGGAACAATGGCGAAACATAAACAAAATTCCTCTCCTATAGGGCTTGTTCTGTAGAAGGTTGTTTTCTATCACACTGGATATGTAACTCTATGCCCCCTCCTATGATATGCACTTAGTATTAGATTTTCGATGATATAGGTTAACACCACAAGGCAGAAGGCGTATGGCACTCCAGATAAAGAATCTATATGGATTACTGAAAAGTAAACCCTTTTTTTAAATTCCCTTGATTGACTTGGCCCTCCCTTGCCTATAAATATTGTCAGCGACATTTTGATCTTGAAGCATCAGAGGTACTGTGAATGTCCCATGAAAAACTAGTTATTCTTTTTTTATCTTTCTTAATAAAGGTGAAAAATGATGACAGTAAATAATTCCCAAAGGACATATAATCACAAAAACTCTACCTTAAATACACAATTTTGAGGCAATGATGTTCATTCTTGCATGGTATAAAATTTAGTCGTTTAACCCAGCTCAGATCCGGAAAAATTAGAGAATATTTAGTCCAAACCCAGAAGACACAAAAACGTACATTAAAATCATTTATCATACATATGATTTGTGCAGTTCAATTAGTTTTTTAATAAATAAATAAATAATGTGCTTCGGTTTTCATTATATTTATTTTGAATAGATTTCTTCAGCAACGTACCATCAAAGTCAAACATTATGCACTGTTTTCATGATAGCCTTCCATATCATCTTCAGTATTTCCTTTCAGTGCCTAGAAAAAAAAATGCAAGCTGAAACATCGTGTGCCATTGCTCACAATAGCATGATCAACCATTTCTTTTCTACAAATAGGATTACATATTTCCACTGTATCATAGTAGGAAATTAATAACATTGGAAACCAACAGCCTTCAAAATAAATTTCCAATTTACTCTTACAATGATGCATTCTGTGAAAATTTGATCCACAATATTTTCAGAGGTTGAATTATATAAAATTTAGGCCTTTGCTCCCAATTTTCCACATGCACCAGGGATCTTCCCGAGACGTCAGATAATTGAGAATAAGCCATCTCATCCGCTGAGTTTTATATCCATGAATTTTGTGTCACAGTGGTGCCTCCAAATCAAATGAACTTTTAAAATTTGAATACAGTAACAAAGTGGTTCCTCGAATTCTAAGCAGCAACCACATTTTCAAAAAAACATATTTTCTAATCATTGGAGGGCTCCAAAAAACGAAAGCATATTCTCCCATGTCCGTTTCTCTTTTTTCTTTTCTTTTTTTCTTATGACAAATTATCTAGCTTCTAAATGATGCGCTAATGATATGCCCTATAATTAAATAACTTTCAGATGCAAAAAAGAAACTTAGTTTTCTCATGTCGAGAAACCAGACGAATATTTTGCAGAAATCTCAATTGTCTACACTCTCTGTCGGTGATAGCGGGGGATCGCCCGGCAGAGAGAGCGATCCTCTTCCAAGAAACTGGAATAGGAAACTAAATAATGATTAATCAGGATAATTTTTTTAATGATAATATGGGAACGGCAATAATGTTTCCTTCGACATATAATTCAATCATGTATACGAATAAAAAGACTTTGCCAGATAACTGTTCTCATTATCACGATCATTCTATTGCAAGGAGTGGCCCACATGGGAGGTACATGAAGCCTACATTAATGGAGAAAATTCTGCTTAAAGTTCCCAAGTATTTTCAATACAGATCCTACGCCGAAAGTAGAAGGATTTTCCCAAAATTGGATTGAAGAGGGATCATAGAGAATGGAAATGTGGACAAGTATGAGCCCAAGCAAGGTTCCGGCCAACCGCTACACAAGTAACGCACATTTTCGTTTTCCAGTAAGGGCAAAAGTAATCCTCCATACCGCACAGAGCTAATGTGAACCCGAGGCTCCGGTGCGCAGCAGAGCAATCGATGCAGAGGAAGATCCCGTAAGTCACCGACGCCCATGTCGGATTCTTCACGCTACGGTCGAAGCACATCTGAAGGGGCATAGATCCCAAGTTTCATCACAAGAGGAAACTGTTACTAGAAAACAATGAGTTGGAGATCCTCAGATCTCCAGCTCCCCACGGCTGGATTCCGAGATCCGAACACACACTCAAATCCCTTCCCCAGTCAAGAGTGACGGGATACCCCTCGGGTAGGACTACCTTGTTCTCGGATCTGCCTCGGAGCTTCTTGAAGACGGCGTTCCTGTCAGTCAAGCTCTCGGAATCCATGACCGCAGACGATGACGATCTGGGAGAGAGGAGTCACCCCCGGCGTGGATCCGCCGGTCGGAGGTACGAAGCCGGAGCTCCTTCTCGCCCTCTCCGCTCCCGCAGAGACCTCGACGGAGCTCCTTCACGCCCTCTCCGGCCGGTAGGGACCTCGCCGGAGCTCCCTCCCGCCGCCGACAAATCAACCTCCCCGGAGGAGGCGCAGAGTAGTTCCAGTGTATATGTGATGAAGGTGTCGGCGGATAACGGCCTCGCAGGAAGCGGTTAAAGCGGGAATACACGCCGACAAAAATTGCTGAATGCCAGAAGGCCCGAAAAAGCCCGAAGCCCATCATATTTTTTTAAAATAAAGCCCAAAGGTTTGGGCCCGTCGTCATAAACTGAGGCCGTAATATACTAATTGATGGCCCTTTTTTCTCTTGATTTAGTAAATGATATCCAAGAAAATAAAAATAAAAATGGTTTTGAAATCATGGGACCGCCCTGAAATCGATCAGGACTACGAACAGTATGATAATAAGTGGAGTGGAGGATTTATAGAAAGAGATTTTTATTGGATAAATTGACGAATTTTTATTTAAATAATAATCTTTAAAATCATAGGCCGTCCAAAAGAACAATCTGGATTTGTGAAAAAAGGGTGAGTCTTAGACCTTGTGAAGCATAAAATGACCTTCTAATAGTAAGATTTGAAAAATCTTAATCCTCTAGGCGACTCAGCTTTTGGGAGAAATTTAATAAAAATTTCTATTTAAAGGTCATTTCAGTGGGGCAAGAAAATTTCAAAGAAGCTGCCAGATGACTCATGCACCTCAAATACCTAAAAGCCTCAAGTAGCTTGGTGATCAGTCCTCTTGAGTCAATTTTGTCCTAGAAACATTTGATAACTAAATTCCCTTGTTCTAGAGATCAAAGCTTAACTTGACAAAATGTTGAATAGATATTATTTCTAGGATATTTTCCACTACTTAAAAATCCTTTCTATTAAAATTTTAAAATTATTTTAGTTAATTTTCAAATACTTGCTAATTTCTTTCAAGATCGAATGTGTGTTGATTAGGTTGCCAACAAGTATCTTCACTAAGACTAAAAGTCAGCCTAATCACGCACATTTATATCCCTGTTTAGTTACTATAGTAAATCATATTATGGAACTGAAGAGTTGCCTAATCTTGCTCATATTTATCCAAAGTTGCAGTAAGGTAGAAGGTTAAGCCTAGCCATGTTCATTATAAACAAATTTTAGTCATTATAATCCAATTATTTTTTTTATTAAGCCTGACATCAACCAATTCATTCATTTTAAGTTATTATAACCAAAGTCAAATAGCTTTTGAAAAAAAATAGCATTTCATGTTCATTTTTATTCAAGTTTATTATTATAATTAGCTCAATAGCTTTAGTTAGCCTAAAAGTTAACCGAATTTTGCTTGTTTTTATCCAATTTTATTATAATCTAGTGGATAGCTTTGGTTTGTCCAAAAGTTGGCAAATAATGGGCAGTTTACATAGAATTAGTTATTATGATAGAGTCAATAAACGATTTAGTAATGTTGGGTGTCCAAATCTATTTCATTCTAATCCATACGATAATCTAATCTATCATCTTAGGAAGCCCAAAAATGAGCCTTGTAATCCTCATTTATGTCTAAACTTGGTAATATTTATCTAGTCAATTTCTTTAGTATGGTCAAGAATTTCACTAATATTGTTCATTTTCCCATTTTTAGATGTCATAAAAGAGTGAATAGCTGTACTAGGTCTAATCTAGTTCATTTATATCTATATTTGTTGCCTTTTTTTGGAGCAGATTTAGTTTTCATGTTGACAAAACATTTGCTAAGTGTATATCAAAATACTAGCAAAATGATTTTTCAAAACCCTAAGTGTAGATCAAAACATATGACATGCTAATAGTTGCTGTAATATTGTTCACTTTCCTCATATTTAGATGTTATAAAAGAGTCAATAGCTTTATTAGGCCTAATCATGTTCATTTATATCCATATGTGTAGCCTTTTTGGAGCAGATTTAGTGTTCATATTAGGTATATATCAAAATATCGATGAAATGATTTTTCCAGCCCTTGGTGAAATCCCATGTGATATAAAAAATGTTTGGAGCCCAATTAATTGTCTGATAACTATCAAGACAAGTGAAGGGTATAATAGTAAGATCACATCGTCATATTAGTTGTATGATCTCTCAACTATTGTTAATATCCTGTTCTAACCCTTGAAGAAGTCTCATAAGTATCTGGCATTTGTTCCTCGCAAAGTTTGCATTTTCACTTCCTCATATGAAGTAGGGTAGCTCAATTAATAAAAAATAGATATTAGGACTTATAGGGACCAAAATAGTAATGGACTTGAGGAGGGGTGAATAAACTAGATCATGATTTACGCATAATAATGATTTCTAATTCTATTCATTATGATATTCAGTGTCATACTTTCCAATTTACTGCTGAAAACTTAGTGGGTCTATTTCTAAACACTACGTTCACAAATGCAGCAGAATTAGACTCTATACAATATTTTTCCACTATTGTTTAGATTAGTCTAATTGATAGATTAAATTAATTATTCAAAGTTATTGTGGTGTAGAAAACTATTTTCTAAGTGATTTGGAAGAAAACAAAGGAACATGCAAAACACAAGTTGTTTTAATTAAACCCATTGAATAATGATGGAGAGTTTATTAGTGAAATTCTACTATAATTAGCATTAGAGGATGACTATAATTAGTTAATCTGGTTCTTTTCTCGTACTATAATTAGCATTAGAGGGTGACTGTAATGGTAATTAAAGGATCCTATAATGACTAATTTACTAGAGAAAGGGGGGTTGAATAGACTTAATTAGGATTTATAAGGAGGGAGAGAGGGAGAGAGAGAGGGAGAGACGGAGAGAGGGAGAGAGAGAGGGAGAGAGGGAGAGAGGGAGAGAGGGAGAGAGAGAGGGAGAGAGGGAGAGAGGGAGAGAGGGAGAGAGAGAGGGAGAGAGGGAGAGAGACAGAGAGAGTCGTTGTACTCCTCGGTGTGAGGGACAGACTCTCTCGTTATACTCCTCGCCGAGAGAGAGAGAGAGAGAGACAGAGAGAGAGAGCGTTGTACCCCGTCGTCGTTTGAAGTCGACGTAAGAGCGAAAGTAATGGAGGAGGAGAGAGAGAGGGAGAAAAAAAGTGAGGACTCATTAAGGGAGAGAGAGAAGGACAGCGAGAGAGAGAGAGAGAGAGAAATGTGGGCCCGAATGATGTGGACGCCCAAGGGAGCTTCACACTGGGGCATTATAACAGTCCCGCTGAGAGGGCGGTTGGAATGCTGCCACGTTTCCGCAATCAGGTAACGTCATCAGCTCGTGTAACACGTAGGAGAATGAATCCGAAGGCTCCAAAGTAGTCCTACTTCCAAAGCAATGTGGCTTTTACAGCTCCAATTTTTTAATATATCTTATATGTCACACTTCCCGGCGCCAACTGCATTAGTGGAGCCTGTGGGGCTCGAAAGACGCTCAGCCGGGCCGTACAGGGGTGGCCCCGGCCAGGCTCCGGCCATCTAGTGCCCTACCGTCAGATGCGAAGGGAAAACTCACCGGTTGAATTTGCTCGTGATCTAGATCGGGTTCAAGCCCTCTCACGTAAGAGCTTTGTCTGAATCTCTCTCTCTCTCTCTCTCTCTCTGCCGTTTTCTCTCTCTCTTCCCCACGAGTTCAATAAACGAGAACTTTAATGCAATTTCCGTGACCCATGTATTTCATTTAAATATGGATGAATATGGATTTTTGGACCCATGTATTTCATGCAAAATTACCGTGGCATAGAGAGTGACCCATGTATTTCCTGTTTTCTATTTATTTAATTATGGATGAATTTATTTATAATAAAATACATGAAGTGACCCATGTATTTCATAGTCCGCATAAATGTGTGGCATTTTGAATTTAATTAAAATTTTCTAAAAATTATGGTGCCGTAGGAAGTGGCCCTTGTATTTCCTGTTTTCTATTTATTGAAATACCGATGAATTTATTTATTTAAATACATGAAGTGACCCATACATTCCATACTCCGCAAAAATGTTTAGGTTTTTGGACTTTAATGCAATTTTCCTAAAACTTCATCAGCGTAGGGAGGAGCTTATTATGCATTCTAAAAGCCCAGATGCTTTATGTTTTAGAGGAGTATGAAAAACCCAGTGGGTTTTGAAAGAATAAAACGACCCGCAATTTTTTAGAATTTGAAATAGGTGCCTCACTTCATTTAATTCAATAAATAAATTAATTGGTATTTGAATAAATAAATAAATTCGACCGTGGGGGTAGTGGCAATGTTGTTTTTTTTAATTTTAAAAAACCGCTTGTTTCCCCAAAGTGTATGTATTCCAGGAGTATTTATGGGGGGATAAATGGAGATATGACGGTTCACTAAGCCGAGTACTATATTAGGACGTGGATTTTATGATTATTATTTATGGGAATAGACGGCGCCGCCGAAGTCAGAGGAGCGCGCACGTGATAGAAAAGGAGGACGACCGCGAACTAAACGTGGTCCCCTCTTGGTTGGATACGAATCTACGGGGTCTGCTGTATACGTATAGAAGGATTCGCCCCGGTCGGCAGTGCGACGTGGCGACCTGAGCGGGTTGACCGGAGGGGCGGCAAGATTTGGGTCAAAGAAACCGGCCCAGGTAGGTTCCTTGCGGGCGGCCCGTCTGGAATGGATAGGAAATGAGGCGTACATTTCGGCGAAATGCAGATCCAAATGCGCTCGCTCTAACTCTATCGTCTTACGCCACCGCCGTCACCACCACCACCATCACCACGGCGTTGGCTGCTTTCCCCTTCTTGCTCTCTCCAATCGCCGCCGCCGCCGCCTCCTCCTCCTCCTCCTCCTCCGCCGCCACCTTCCGGCAAGCGGCGTCGCTGCACGCCACCTGCGGGTGGCGCCGATTCGTTCGATGAATCTGTGGACGGATGAGAGCAGCTCGATGATGGAAGCGTTCGTGGCGTCGTCGGAGGCTCAGGGATTCGCCTGGCCGGGTTCCGGCGTGGCGTCGTCCTCCTCCGATCCTGCGAGGAAATTCCTCGCGGTGGCACCGCCGCCGCCATCGCCGCCGCCCATGGCGGGGATTGTGAACCAGGAGACGCTGCAGCAGCGGTTGCAGGCGCTGATAGAGGGGGCGAGGGAGAGCTGGACCTACGCCATCTTCTGGCAGTCCTCTGTGGACGTCTCCAATGGCGCCTCCTTCCTCGCGTGGGGGGACGGCTACTACAAGGGTTGCGAGGAGGACAAGAGGAAGATGCTGCCGTCGCCGGCGACCAGCGCCGCCGACCAGGAGCACCGGAAGAAAGTGCTGCGGGAGCTGAACTCGCTCATCTCGGGGGCGGCGGTCGCCGGAGAGGACGCCGTCGATGAGGAGGTCACGGACACGGAGTGGTTCTTCCTGGTGTCGATGACGCAGAGTTTCCTCAACGGCGCCGGCTTCCCAGGGCACGTCCTCTTCACGGCAGCGCCGGCGTGGGTCGCCGGCACCGAGCGGCTGGCGGCGGCGGGCTGCGAGCGCGTCCGGCAGGCCCAGACCTTCGGCATCCAGACGATGGTCTGCGTCCCCGTCGGCGGCGGCGTTGTCGAGTTCGGCTCCACCGATCTGATCTACCAGAACATCGATATCGTCGACAAGGTCAAGGTCCTCTTCAACTTCAACTTCGGCGGCGGCGGCAGGTTTGGTGCGGCGGCGGGGCCCGTGGTGGCGGCCCCGCCGTGGCCGGCGGCTGTGGCCGGAGACGAGGGGGAGAACGACCCCTCCGCCATGTGGATCTCAGACCCTGCCGTGGTGGAGATCAAGGGCTCCATGTTTGAGAACCCTAGCAGGAGCAGCCTCACCGGCAGCGGCAGCTCGGTGCAGCCGCAGCAGCACCGCCAGCAGCCTCATCCTCATCATGTTCATCATCGTCATCATCAGAGCCCCGCCATTAACAACCCTCATTCCCAGCAGGGCCCTTTCACCAGAGAGCTCAACTTCTCAGATTTCGGCCTGAACCACTCCAATCCGCTGCAAGCGCTGAAGGCGGAGTCCGGGGAGCTCATGAACTTCGGGGAAAGCAAGAGGAACTCCGTCGCCGTTGCCGACGGCGGCGTATTCGGCCGCCAGGCGGAGGACAGGAAGCAGACTAAGTCGGCGGCGGCGACGGCTGCGACGTCTAAGCTGAGCATCGACGAGGGTATGCTCTCCTTCACGTCGGCGGCGGTGGTCCGGCCGGCGTTGAACGAGGCGGCGAAGTCCGGCGGCGTGGGGATCAGCGGGGACTCCGGCCACTCCGGCCACTCCGACGTCGAGGCGTCAGTGCGGGAGGCGGAGAGCCGGGCGGCGCCGGCGCCGGCGCCGCCGGAGAAGCGGCCAAGGAAGCGGGGGAGGAAGCCCGCCAACGGGAGGGAGGAGCCCCTCAACCACGTCGAAGCGGAGCGACAGCGGCGGGAGAAGCTCAACCAGCGGTTCTACGCCCTGCGGGCGGTGGTGCCCAACGTCTCCAAGATGGACAAGGCCTCCCTCCTCGCCGACGCCATCGCCTACATCAACGACCTCCGCTCCCAGTTGCAGTTGCTGGAGTCGGACAAGGAGGCGCTGCAGAACCAGATAGAGTCCTTGCTGAAGAAGGAGAGGCAGCCCCCCCCGCCGGAGCTGAAGACGACCGCCGCGGCGGCGGCGGTAGCGGAGGTGGACGTGAAGATAATTGGCAGGGAGGCGATGATCAGGGTGCAGTCGAAGAGGAAGAACCACCCCGCCGCGAGGTTGATGATGGCGCTCATGGAGATGGAGCTCGAGGTGGTCTACGCCAGCGTCTCCGTGGTCAACGACCTGATGATCCAGCAGGCCACCGTCCGCATGTCCGCCGCCGCCTCTTACACCAAGGAGCAGCTCAGCTCCGCTCTCTTGTCCCGCATAGCGGACGCTTCCGACCCTCGGGTATTGAACCAGAGATAGAAATATGGAGGGAGAATAGAGAGATAATAGAGAGAGAGAGATAGAGAGAGAGTGGAGTCTGTCAGCGTGTAGAACTGGCTGCCGCCATGAGAGAGCTTCTCAAGCTACTCTGGAACGAGTTCTTTGTCTGAGTTGCGCCGACTTCTTCTCGGCTTCTCCCCATTTGGGAGCACTTCTTCAAAAATCAATTCCGATCGCCTTTTGGCTCCTCCATATCCAATCTAGGATCGGCTTTTCACAAAGACATGCCCGCACGTCCCCCTTCCCCCGGTGTGATCCACTCGTGTATAGCTCGACCACAGAAGACTCATGGGTCCCAGTGGCAACTTCTGGATCTCCCATGTGGCCGCCTCTCTCGCTGCCTTTCTCTCTCTCTCTCTGTTCTCTCTCTCTCTATTTGTGGGAGGAGCTCCGGATTCTTAGGAGAGCAATTACTGTCTGCGCATGCCACTGGCACATGTTGATGGACATGTCGGCAGCCTTTGGAGTCACCCAAGGGGCCAATAACCCCGCAAAAATCATAAACATGCGTGGTCCTGAACTCGGTGCAACATAATTAGAGAAATTTTCGCATTGGGCTACTGAATAACCTTACGGAATTAAGTTTATTAGAACCCCAGTGCATGGTTCTTTCTAAGACCGAAATTAGAGTTCCATGGGATTGTAAACTATGTAGTTTCATTGGTGATAAAGAGCCCACAATATTCACAATAACGCACCCAATTGGTACTGAATCTCTCTCTAAATGTACTCCTCAATGGTGATTTTTGAGTCATTTAAATTAGAACTATATTTTTGTGGTACCAGCTTAACATTTACCATCTGAATTGCCTAACCATGGGCGTAGATTGGTGCCGCATGTTTGGGCATAATGCATGTGAAAGTCTGTGAATAATGAAAAATTTCGAATAAACCTGATGTGGCTTCTTATGGTACTTATCAACTGTCAAACCTAGCTTATGTTTCCTTTTTTAGAATGTAATGCACATAGAAAACTGCAATGAAAATATTATTCAACCTACAAAATAGCTGGGTGATTTTTATGCACAAAGGGCCAATAGTAATTAGAAGATATGAAAAAGGGCCATGCTAGTTGCTTAAAATAAGAGGAATGAAAAGTGGGAAACTAAAATCTAAGTGCTTTAATGACCATTTAACCCAAATAGTTTGGCATCATCATTAATTTATCACCATTTTTTATTTAGCAGGTAAAATCATTCTTGTTTCACCTTGAAGAGGCAAAATTCATTGTGGTAAACTTGAAATCAACTCATGGAAGTCGACAACACTGTTTTGTTGACCCAAGGAATAGTGCAATTTGCTGAAAAATAAGCTTTAAATAAACACATAATGTATGCCTAAACAAGAGACAAAATATGTCCTTGTCATTGATGTTTGATTACATTGTTTCATGATAGTTATACATTGGTATCTTATTGGATAAATATTTCACCTAGTGGGCCATCTTTCCCTCAAAACAGCATGATGTTTGATATTTGCCTCTCTATCAATGTGGATGACAATTTATCATAACACCATATTACATATTATTCATCCCACTTTATATTGAAATTATTTAATGATCAAAATATCATAGGTTAGCTTATTGCAATATATGAGCTACTTGTTCACTAGTGATGTCACCGGATATTTAGAATCTTGCACAGATGTTAATTGACCTTTAAAGATATAGCTCTCTTGTTCAAAATACACTTTAGTAAACTCAATTTTTAAGTTTAAAATAATACAAAAATTTACTATTTTCCTAGTAAACTAATACCTTCAACAGATCAAAATTCGCCATAGTTTCAACAAATAGCTGTAATTGTAATAGAGTTTTTAGTTGGCTTCTTATTTGTAAAAGAAAAACCTGAATAAAGTCAATTTTTAATAGTGAAGTTTTGAATAGGTAGGTGCTTAACATCCTTTCAAGGAATCTTAAAACAATTTGAAATGTTGCTCAATATTGTTGGGAATACAAAGCTCTACAGTAGAGTGTTTCTTCAATTGAAAAATTATTTGTTTACACATCATTGTTTCTTATATATATGTTTTATTCCCAGAATCTAGTGATCTAATAGATTTCCCCAATCATAGTGTGACCTTCTCATATGATGCTAAACACAAACATTATCTATTGCCACCTTTATAGTTATACGTACATATTGAATAAAAGTAAAAATAAATTTAAAAACCTTTGAAGATGAGATGAATAGTAAAGAAGTTTCATCTTGGAGCATTGCAAATATGCTTGCATTAAAAGCTCTTCTTCTTCATCAAAAGGTTCAAATCTCATTTTTGTTAGTTAGGTCTAATTGCTACTTTTCCCTTCATAGACTGTGCTGAAATACTCATTATTAGTATTTCCTTTTTAAGGGAACTTTACCAAAACATAAATCTATCAACAAAACTTATATGTAAGGCCATTTGTTTATTTCATGGACTAAAGTAGACCTTATTTTATGGGGACTTCAATTATAACAAGAGAAATTTAATCATTTGGATGTTCATTATCACTTGATTTATAAAGTTTGATTAATGTCTTTCATCATGTCAATCATTCAAATGTGGCCCCTCATATTCATATATTTTACAAGACAGATTTATGGAAGCTTAGGACAAAAATTCTTCTCAATATCTCATAAATAGTACATTAAATATTTTTCAGACAAATTTTAGATGATCCAACTTCAACTTGTCATAGCCCAAGAAATGTAGCAAAAGATGACATTAGTATAAAATTTTCATCTTCAAGTAAATAATGCTTTGGTTACCTTCTATATATTAAATTGGAGGTAGTTCTTTTGTACTATGGTTAAACTATTGGAAATGTAGGGTAGGTTAACTTTAAACATAGGAACTGATGTAATGTGGATAGAAATGATACACTATATATATGAGCATTACCTGGTGTGGTTAAAAAAATCAGCTTTTAGGTGGCCAAGAAATTTCAACTAGTTATTACCTTCCAAGAATGAAATGGGGGCAAAAATATCCCCTTTTTCTGGCTCTTCGAATTGTGGCCATTTTTTGACCAACATAGTTAGTATATGCTGATCACCTAGTACTCTTTGGCAGATATTAAACTCTTCTTGCTCTCTTTTCTCATTATTTTAAGTTATGTTCGGACATCCAAATTTGGTATGTGATCATATTAATATCAAGATGATTAAATAGGCTTCAAGACCACTATTGATATGATTATCAAGAGAGGCATAATGAAATCAACTTAGTATGCGTATCTAAGCTTGTTAAATCATGACTATCTCACTCTTTTACAAATTGTGATGATGTATTGACACAAGTAGTGATCTTGCATGTGATTTGGAATGAAACTTTATAAAAAATAATGAGCAAAACTTTCTAATAGGAGCTCATAGAACAATAGTTACTAAAAGGTCATATGTGAACTAACGACCTACATCTACCATACTATTTAGTTTAAATTTTTCATAAGCCTTTATTATATCTATGAATAAACTCCCAAAGACAATAAAAATAGATAGAATGAAATTATTTATTTTAAAACTCTAATGTCCTAGCATATGATTCTAACAATAATTATAATGTACGATTTCTTAAAGGCAAAAATATGACAAAATCACTGAACTTCCCCATTTAGGGGGAGGGGGTGGCCTTTCTCTATCAAGCAATGTGGGTTTCATTAAAAATGCCCTAGAATGTCTTGCATAGGGCTATTTTTAGTCTTGTCTAAGTATTGAATGGGCTTAGTACATTTGAGTCTGAAAGTATGTTACGCTCTCATTATCTAGGCTTATCTTGGCAAGTTACATCTTTATCATCACAATCAAATAAAGAGATAAGTCAAACGTTACCACATTGAATGATGAGTAAGTTTCAATAGCAAGTAGAGCTGTCACATAGAACTAGGGTTTGGATAGTTGTGATTGGTAAGCTATTTTGATGGCTTGATGTGTTCCTAGAATAACCATTGAAATAATTAGATGAAGGGATATTTTTTGCATGTTCCCATTAGTTGGGCAGTAAATATGTGAAAGAGGGGAGTCTATTTTGCACATAAAAGATCTAAGCACATGAGTGTTTTGAAGAGTTTAGTATATCAATACAACCTTTACTCTTCTACACTTGAATATTTTACTAAGTTATTCCTAACTTCTAATGATAAGTTAACATTAATGTTAATTCCCTATTTATGTAAATTTATTTAGTTTGTTCTTATTTTTCCCTGTTTAAGCATGTTGACATATTTTATTCTTTTTTTCCCAATTTATATATATTGAGTTATTTTATTCTTATTTTTTCCTCTAATTTTGGAGAATCTATTCATGTAACATAATATTTATTGTTTAAAACATTTTCATTTTTTTAAGCTCTCATTCATTTGCTTAGAACTTATGCATTAGGTTCACATGAGCAAAAAAATCGTTTTGGTGATCTACTCCTCTATCTCACCCCATGAAACACAAGAAATCTTCAATAGAATTCAGCCAGCTTTGCCATATCATTTGGCCAGATTAGATAAGCCATATTTCTTAGTTTAATTGACTTAGAAATCACAACTGACCCAACCAACTTGGCAAGCACCAATCCCTTATCACCTTGAATGACTAACACCTACTTGTTAAATTTCCAATTGAGCTAAATAAACATCATGAGGAGACTCATTTCATTCAATTAATCTGGGTGGATCAAGAAATAAAATCACTTTTGCACAACAGTTCAAGGACACCTTAAAGCGGATGAAGTTATTCACAATGACTAAAAAAAGTTCACCAACCTAGTAACTCAACAGCTACTCAATAGATAAGTACACATGTGTATTACCTAATCTTATTATAGTAACCATTGAAGTCAATAGATTGAATTTGGTGATGGATAACATCTTAGTGACATATGACTAGATGTTTAGGGCAAAGAGTTATCATGGGTCTTGTTTATGGGGGACATAAGAGGTCGATTAAACACAAGGATAATGAGACAGATATAGGTTCATGGTTCCCTCAAAAGGAGTAGTTGATATTGGGCCAAATGGTCTTATCCTAGTATTAAATAGTTGACATAAAAGATAATGTAAGTCATCGGTGTACTATGTGAACAAGCCTTGAACGTTAAATTTTGGAGCCAAACTTCTTTTATGATGATGATAGGTCTGTATAATAAAACATTTACTAATGAAATATAGGTATATCAACAATTTGTTAGACTAAGCATTTCAGGTGTATAAAATCATCTAATTTCTTCTTTCCATAAATGAATTTGGGTCTCCATGTACTTGAATATTGAGGAAAGCATGAAACTAGATGCTACATAAAAAATAAAAAATTGTGAAAGTAATATGATAGTTGTGATGTGCTTGTTGGTGTGGTTATGATCAATCATCGTACAATTTTTTCATGAAATAAATGTCTCTCCATGCGGTTGGTTATTAAAACTTCTCATTCAAAACGTACAAACTTACCATTGGTTATAAGTAATAGTTTTACTCACAATAATCCCAAGAGATAGATATAGAAGCAAGTATTGATTTCACAAAGATTCTCATCAATGTTGGATCATTTTTATGCTATATTATATACCAATAGGAGGGTGAATTGATTTTCTATCAGGTTTTAATATTTTTTCTTATTTTAAAATTATTTTTATCATTTCTAAGTATAGTAGGTCTACACAGTCTTATATGAATCAATATAGTGGGGATGGGTTAACAGATTGGTTGACACGATTGTGTTAATGAATAAGGTTGGCAAATAAAAATCCTACATGAGTGAGATACAAATAATTATAGTGATTCAACCTTTCTCTAGGATATGTCTATTTTGTAAGGTTTAAGGTTTCTTATCTTTACTTTCACATACTTTAGAGATATACAACTAAACTTCATGGGATCAACAAAAACTTTATGTGATAGATTTCATACATGTATCACACTAGATATCTTGGCACTTAGTGGTTTTTCTATCATTGTTAGAAGTACTACTCTAAAGTGTTTTAACATAGGAAAATAAGTTCAAAAAACTGGTAAAATGATAGCTTTCTTAAGGTTGTAGGGAACTTGGGCAACTAGAGTAAGCTTGGGCGAGCAAGAGCTCATAGCAGATTTTGTATGGTAGATTTTGAATAGTGTGGGGAGAGATGACTGACCACTGAGGCAATGTTTGAAAGCTCTTCTAGTGGAATATATATAGAGCCCAGAATCTTGAAGATTGGGAGTCAATTATTTGAGATACGATCCATAAAAAATTACTTCAGTTGATACACATTTTCTTGACTAAGCTCTTCAAACATTGTCCTCCTTAAGATCTACTTGTTGAATACTATGCCATCAACTCATCTCTACCCTGGATTCATGGCTTTGGGGGGAAGGCAACATGATAAGCATCTAGTACCATCTCACCATTTTTTAGACTCAAAACTCTAAAAGATATTGAATCCTCCTAATACCTCTTAACTAATAGTAGTTCTCTACCAATAAGGGTTAGTGTAATTAGTTCTCTAATTTGAGTGAATTTTTTTAAGGGCTAGCATACAATAATGTTATGATATTTATATCCAAGTGTTACTTTAATAGAAATTTTAAATGACCATTTTACTCATATACATAATTTGCCAACATCAATTGGGCCTAGGCTGGCAACAATCCCTCCACACTATCTTTTATAAAAAAATGTTACAGAGGCAGAGTTCTCACTTCAAACCAATTGATAAAATAGGAAGGAGGTCATGCCTTGAATCAAGGGAGAGTGAGAGAGGTCAGAGAGGGATGAGGAAGGCGAGAAAGATGAGGTTTGAGAGAGAAATGGAGAGAACAAGTTAAAGAGTGTTGAAAGGGAGACGCCGGAAGAATGATATGATGGAGAAATGGAAAGAAGTGAAAGAAGAGGTTACGAGCTGTTCAGTGCATTTTGAAAGAATAACCTGCCATTATCATATCTTAGATAATGTTTAGTATAGGTAATGTGCAATTCGTTAATGCTAGCTACTACAGAGCTTTATTTCTAATAATAGAAGGATTGCCGATCAGTATCTAGAAAATCTGGAAGAACGGAAGTGCTTTAAACTCTAAGATTTAAAATGAATATTCCTAATAGATATCTTTGTGTTGTGTGTGTGTGTGTAAGAGAGAGAGAGAGAGAGAGGGAGAGAGAGAGTAAAAGTTAAATGATACCTGATAATGTTAATGATTCAGACAGGATCTGTCGGTAGACTTTAGAGGAAGCCCAACCTTTTTCTAACAAGAGTTTAAACCTCTCTCTCTCTCTCTCTCTCTCTCTCTCCAGCTGTTCTCATCGTTGGAGAGCATGCCGGTGGACACGTCTCCCTCGGTCGCGGCGGATATATACGGACTGAATCATACTGGGGTACGGCCATCCAGCTGACTCTATCTTGGGGAGAGAGAGCCATGGAGGAGCTGGCTAGAGACATGGAGAGGGCCCTTATCTTCGGGGATGACGACTACGACGACCTGGAGTCGGCGTTCGATTTACCTGCGGAGATGCATATGACCTTCGAGTTCCCTGACGACGGGGAGCCGGTACCCCGCCAACCTGCCCTCGACTACGTAAAAAACCCCAGCGCCCTTCTCCGCACGCCTGCCGACATCTACGACCACAACGACTCCTACTCCTTCGTTATCGATATGCCCGGCCTCGAAGCCAATATGATCAAGGTTCTCCTTCTCTCCTTCTCTCTCTCTCTCTCTCTCTCTCTCTATATATATATATATATATATATATATATATCTCATCAATTATAAGGATATATATATCGATCTCTCCCCCATCTCTATCCAACCAAGTCTTTCCTAATCTGTCAATCTATCTATCTACGGACCCACCAATTGATCACAAGATAATTATCTATATTCACAACGATCTCGGCAGGTGACTGTAGAAGACGATAAGATCCTTCACGTGGTGGGGAGGAGGAGAAAGAAGGCAGCAGAGGAGGAGCCCGCTAAGGCGGAGGGGGAGGTCGAGGCCCGAAGCAAGCCAGAGGCTCCGGCGGCGAGGCCCATAAGAATCGAGCGGCGGAGGGCGAGGTACATGAGGAGGTTCAGCTTGCCCAAGGATGCCGACAGGGAGAAGGTCAAGGCCTCTTACAGGAACGGCGTCCTGACGGTGATGGTAGACAAGGTGCCGGCCAAGGGGCAACCTTCCAGGTCCAGATCCGTCTCCATCCCCGTGTCCTAAGCTCCAGGGACCGGAGATCCGTTGCACCGGCGCACGACTGTAGTTCTTCTGTCTTGTATGGATACGCGTATATAAATGAAATATGGAACTACGTACGTACAGAAGCTTTGTAGATTTTCCTTGGCGGCCTGAGAAGAAGATGAACTCTCTCCAACAAATATGGTGTTTTTAAAATATCCTGTGTTTACTTTATAGCCTTGTGATTGCTTGACTTTTTTATTAAATGGGTTTAAATATTCGGGTTTGCAAGAAAAATAGAAATACTGGAAACAAGAGTTGGAAATTTGAAGTAGAAGGGTTAGGCTGGTTAGAGCCTATCCCTTATGTAAAATGATCTAAACAATTTTTGGATTTAGTTAAATTAGAAATTTTTATAACAAGAATCTATTTTTTTAAAGCTACAATAGTCAGAAGATTATTCAGAGCCATGTGAAAGAAGAATATTACCACGCTTAGTCATATACTGTTTTTCGAACTAGATATATGCATTATTGTTAACTTTTGAAATGCATATTTATGCACAATTAATGTCCAAATCTTTAATGCATAAGTATACTAAAGATTATACTACAGATAGATGGGATGACAGTGAAGGACGTAATAATTTGTAATTCTATTTTCTGTAATCTTTATGATTAGAGCTCCTAATTTTGTAGATGATAAATTAGTTGTGTCTTTGTGTCTTGTATTTAAGGATGAAATGAAATTAAGACTAAAACATTGTTTTACCAATCGTGTGCATAGCTAGAATAGGTTACTTAATTGAAAGAAAGATTAACTATTCTAAGTCTCTCTACTTCAAAGAACTGATTTAGGTGATTAGAAGAAGACAAAAAACATATAAAATAAATGTTCACTTTGATTTTAGAGTGATTCATGCTCTTGTCTACATCTAGTATCTCAAGAACTGTCACTCCTTATGTTCTACAACTTTTTCTAGAAGATTACACAATGTGCTAATGGATTTGGGGGCCAGATAGTTATCAATACTATTAACAATTCAAGTGCTCAATGCACTAACAATCAGATTGTTTTAGAGAATTAGTCCCTCACCAACTTAATGGCTTTGATGTACCAAACAGCATAAGGTATTGTCAAACCCAAGTGCTAAGATAATTTGAGGTTTATACCCACTAATTGAGCAATTTTCAACTCATAAAGAACAAACAAGTGTCAATAGTAATTTCATTTGCTTGATTTGACGATTACCTTAACACAATCTCAATAAGTATTTATTGATGTTTGGTTAGATCTAGATCATTATAATGACCTCTCTCTAAAAATATCTCAAGCAAAATTTTTTCATTCTTCTCTTTTAAGCTCTCAACTTGCTTGTAAGCTTGTGTGGATGAATTGAAGGAGATATATTGGCATTGAGGCTGTTCCTCTTTCATGTGATATGGGCTTCCCATTGTTTAGATTAGGTTTCAGCCATCCAATAATACTTCGTAATGAGTACTAGTTGTTGGAAATCATAACATTAGCTAATGCATCAATGCCTGAATATAATTTATAAAAATAATTTTTATTTTTTAAAATAAATATCAAATTGCAAACTTAAAATACTTTCTTTAGTTTTTTTGTTACATCATCTTTGTCCTCCAAATATATATCCAATGAGTATACATACATATACTTGTGATATAAACCTGGGTCCAAAAATTACATGAATGAAATAGGTGTCTAATTTTACTTTTGCTTTGAATCATGAAATTATTTCTCAATTCAATTCCCAAACCTTGATGTACCATGATGATTATAATGATTAGTTGACCAGTGACTCATATATGTATCTCAATAATTTACTATAATATAGTCAATACTTAAAATGAAGTATATTGACAAGCATTGAGTTACTCATGGCTTATTTGCAATAATGTCTATCGGAATCAAAAATTATAATTTAATTCAATAAAATGTTTTTACTGTTTAAATTATTTTATGGATGAGCAATGAAGAGATTTTAAAAAGAACCAACATTGCAGTTATCATTGTACATAGTGAATTACACTTTGTTACGTTCATTAATTAAACATTCTAATTGAATTCAGAAAATTGAAGCTATGATTATAAAAATTTAATCTATGATCATTTAAGTATTATGAATCTAATTTTTGAATTGATATTTAATTTAGTATGTTGTGTATAATTAAATAAGTCATTCTGAAGTTCATGTTAAAAGGTTCTGATATATACAATGAATTAAATTCTATAAAGATTTAGCATAAAAGCATTTAGTCCACGGTTCATAAATTATTTAAAAATCATAACTAACCTATCTTTCTTTAGGGGTTGACATACCTTAATATGAATGCTCTTGTTTAACTAGGTGATGTCCAACTAAGGCAAATATTACATTGCAACAGGTTGCTTTAAATTTATGGTTTTTCACAAAATTTAACAACTAGTCTCATTCTCTTAGCTAAATCAAAGCATCTATTACTTTTGTCCTCAATTATGATGTAAGACACCAATTCAAGAAATCAGAAAACTGATTATTTTTTTTACCCAAGTGACCTAGAAATATAAAAGAGTAAGCTAAAAATGTTTGAAGGCCCAAAATGACTTTGAAGCAAATAGGCCCAAAATTTCATGAATAATACGTCAAATTTAATGTTTTGATTTTGGGCCCTTAGTGATTGTTCCATTTTTTCACTATGATTTTATTTTTTTTAATAAATTTATTTTTAAGAATAGTTAATATAGATTTTACTTATTTAAAGGTATGAATGATGTAACTTTAGGAGATAGTTGATGCACACTGAACATTGCAGGTTTGGGAATGCACTAAATCTTAAATTAATGACTAAACTCTCAAAATATAATTATGTAATATTGGATGAGTTCAAGTCGAATCAATATAGATGATTTAATTTATTTTTAATATAAATCTTATGTTTTCAAAAGGTAAGTACTTCTATTGGAATAATCAAACAAAAGTGTTTAAGACAAACTACTTGATTTCTAAAGAAAGGAATAAAATCTCAACAAAATGAAAATTAGAATAAAGAGATAATGATGGAGTCGTGAGTTCTTTAAAATGTCATGGACGCTGAGCAACATGACAATACCAAGAGATCCTGGGTCAAGCAGGTAGAAATTCAGATCTATGGGTGGTGAAGGACTGCTCTACGTTCTTGAATGAAGGTGAAATGTAGAGGATAGGTGAATAAAGATAACTTAATTCGAGGAGGTAAGAATTAGAAAGAAGAAGAAGAGAGAAAGGAGAGAAGAATGAGGAAATGAAAGGAAGAGAGAAAAGATGAAAGGGGAGAGGGAAAGATTGATGAAAAGCACAAAAACTGATCAAAATAGGAAGAGAAGAAGGAAAAGAAAAAATGAAACAAAAGGAAAAAGTGGGGAAGAAGAAGAAGAAGAATAAAAAATATCGAAGTAGTGAGAAACTCATCGGCAAAACAGTTTAGACTAGTGAGAGAGAGATCACCGGTGAAAACAAGATAGGCAGTGAGAGGAAGGGGAAAATAACATGAAATCAGTTAAAAACAAAATACAAGAAGTTGAGGAAGAGATTGGACGAGAGGTAAAGAGGAAACACACTTCACAAAAAGAGAAAATTTGCCGAAAAAAGGATGAAGTGAAAATGGTTGGTCTCCAGTGAGTGAAAAATGATAAATGATAATTACAATAAATCAAAAGAACAATGTAGAATGACAAAATAATTGAAAGAAGGGAAGAAAAGAGGGAGAAAGAGAGAAAAACGTCCTAGAAAAGAGAAAACTCATCGGTCGGAGAGAATGCTGGCAAGGGAGCGAACACAAAATCAAGGACAGGACAGGGGATCAGAACATATAAATAACGTAATAGGAGGTAAGGAAAGGTGAAGAACTTCTCACGTCTATCACTTGGGAAGACAAAGCAAGAGAGAGAGAGAGAGCAATAAAAACGTACTAAAAGCTAAAAAAATTAAAGATTTAAGGCATTGAAGAAGAGGTAGGGAATGATTTTCTTCTTGTCACACAGGGAAAGAGAGAGAGAGAGAAAGAGATAAAAGAGGAATTGGCTGAGATACGAAACCATGTAGATAGAGGGGGAGCTCTAGAGAGAGGAAGGGGAAGAGGAAGAGGAAAGAAGGGGAGGTGACAAAGAGGGCTTTTGCTAAAGAGAAATATGGTATTTTAAAAGGAAAAAAACAAAAAAAGAAAGAGAGAAAAAATAAAATAGGTAGAAATAAAGAAGGAGAGAAAGAGGGAGAGCAGAAAAACGAAGTTAATTGAATCTATCTCAAAAATAAATATTTCCCTTATCCTATCATCAATTCAAGCTGAATTTTGAGTTGAAAATCTTGTTTCATTTGTCTAAGTCATATGCTAAAAGGAAAATAATCACTTGTGTAAAATTTTAACAAATGGTTATGCATTTGTTAAACTTTGGAAAAAAACTTGATAACCATGTAAAAAGATTTAATGTATATTATTTCTCATAAATTCATAGAGAAGAATGGACTTATTTACTTATCACTTTAAAACATTATATTATCAATGCTAATAAGATGATTTTTTGTGAGAATGTTTTTTGGTTGTGACTCAAGCAACCCTTGTGGGTCCAATGATTGACTAAAACAATCTTTGTGAACTCAAGGATTGATGAATTTTGTGCCCTGTGGATTTAAGGGATGATTTATGATCTTTTGCAGCTTAAAATTTTGTATCTTATAGATTCAAAGTTGAATTTCTATTTTTCTACAACTTTTGCTGCGTCAAATAGAATCACTATGCATCCACTATATTAGTTGACTCAACTTCACATTTCTACACATTGTCAACAATGTCCCTCTAATAATTGTTATTATAATGTTGACAAGATCAATTGAGAACCATTAATCAACATTAATTTCTAGATTTTTTTTAAATGTATAAAAAATATCTAAAAAATAAGCAATAAAAGTCACAATGTAATGTGACCCATTTTAAATTAAAATTTCCTTTGAATCAAACGCAGGATATAAAAAAAAGCTGAGACTTGTCAATCCAAGATGTGACAAAGAGAGCTGATACATGAGTTTTACCTTCAATTCAGAATTTAAAGTTGAAAGTACATCAATGCTCTCTCACATGCTTGTAGAAGGAATATAATGTCTCTAGGAAGAGCCTATTTCACCGTGCTAGATATGAGTTCATTTCAAAATGCATAAGCTTACAAGCTAAACAACGAAGGGTGTTCATTTAGCAACTTGAAACCTTAAGGCCTAGTGGGATTATTAGTATTTGAAGAAACCTTTGAAGAGTAAAGTCAAGCCATTTAAATATTGGTTTTGTAATTACTTATTCATCTTTAATTTCCATTAACAGTTGAAGTAAGTTATTAACTCAACTCAACCTTCCCCTTGAAAGTTTATTCATATGAAGCAATGAAACTTATTGGTTATGATTTAGTACCAATATTAGAAGAAAAAAACACAGCCATAAATGAAGTTAGATGTGACATCATTGATGCAGCTCAATTTCAACGCAACTCAAATGGACCAGAAGCCAAAGATGTGTGAAAGATACAAGTTAGCTCAATTCAACTCGAGATGGCCCAACAAGAGATTTGGATACATCTTAAATGTGCCCAAATTTAGTTTTCTCTATTTTATTTTCATTTCCCTCTTTTAGTCATTTTAAATTTATTTGAAATTCAAATTTTAGGTGTCCAAATAAATAGATTTTCCACTTATTTTGGAGGCCCTTCGCATTGTCCAAGAGACATTCAATCAATTCTACGAATTTCTTATCTCTTTTGAGATTTTTCTCCTCTACCAGTGGATTACGACGTCCATGCAGACTCAAAAGACTATTTTTTATCCTATGGACTCAAGATTAAACCATTGTGGACTCAAGGGTTAAAGTTCTTCATTGTATAGATTCAGGGTGAAAAATCTTCACACAATCAAAATATTTGTAGATTCAAGGATGAGATTTCAACTCTTTATAGAAATCAACTACATCAACTTTATCAAATCGTCATTTCCTCATTTTCTGTGGGATCAAACTCAAGGAAACCTTCTTGATCCTTCACAGTGAATGATCCTTCATGGATCAAACCTATATAGATTCAAGAGTTGAAGTTTTTCCCGTTATGTGGACATGGTGAATGATCCTCACAAAAATCAAATCTTTCAACTCTGCGCAACTCAGGCTGTGTCAACCTCTCTCAAATCATCATTTTATAAAGTATAGAATATAATATCATCCTTGGGAAAGGGTGTCAAAGGTATCCAACTTGCATTCTAAAAGGTAGGTAATGAGGGCTATTGAATTGGAGATGAGACATCACTACGTGAACCTAGGGCAGGAAGATAGGGTTGCCATTGCCAAGGACAAGATCATTGGTAAAAGGGACAAAGCCAAACCTCAGCAAAAAGGTAACCAAAATAAGGAAAATATGTTGGAGCATAAGAAAAAACCAAATATCAGATAACTCACCACCAGCTTTTTATCTCAAAATTGTACCTTATTTTCTGGTGATGTTCCCACCGTTGAAGGCAGATCTCACAAGGTTTTGCAATGATGTTTGCACCATTTTCCATCAAACTCATCAGAAAAACAAGGTAAAAGTAAAGAGGAATGGCTGGAGTACTAGCTTTGGTTACCTTTTACATGAACCAACAGACTTCCCCTAACAAGTATGAAGAGATATAGTATGAAGGAGCGTTTTCAAAATGGGCTTTGGCATTGGACTCCCTTAAAAGGCAGACCCAACTAAAGCAACATTCGTTTCCAGAACCAAAGACTGGGTTATGGCTATGGACGAGCCAACACATTCAGTTGCCTCCTGCATAAGAAAGAAAGTGAGAAACAGAATGCCATCACAGGATTTAAGTCCATTCCTTCACTAAGCTACCACTGGTTGGATCATAGAAGTTTAATAGGTCAAGGTGATTCAGGGTCTGATCTTCAGAATCTTACAGGGAATTCCAGTCCAAATTTTCATTACCTGCAGTTTGGAAACGCCAGACCTGAGAAACACAAGACAATGACAGAGCAAGTGGGTTGTGAGAACTGTGAAGGAAAGTGCCCATTGGTCTAGAACCTGTAGCCTTCTATAAAGACCATAGATAAATATTTACAAGGATCATATAATCTCATAATCCAACATGCCCGGATTATGAAGCTAGATATCACTAGTAATTTGGAAATAAATGCCTTTTGGGTATACCGGAATTTCTCAGGCGCTCAGTGACAATGAGACAATTTTAGAGAGCTTGCACCTCACCACCTTCCTCGATTGAAGTGGCTGGAAGATAACTTCGGTGCTCTCCTTCACAGTTATCTCCTTCCTCTCTGAAGCTGATGTTCCTTCTCCTCGATAGTCACGGGGAATATACAAGAGTTGAACCTTTGACCTACCTGCATTCAAAATTATGATTCAAGTCCAATTCTATTTCGTAAACTCTACTCTACGACCGAGTCATCAACAAACTTGTCACTGTAACTCTCATCCGCTGACTCCTTTGATACACTAAGGATAGAGTAACTTAGTAGATATTTCAAAAGGCGTCGAATAGTCATCCGTGAAATCAGAGCAGATTTGGCCACTACCAATCCTAAGTAATAGCTAATGCTATTACTTCTTACTTTTAAGTCGGTTATATGCAATCCTTCCTGGATTCGTTGTCAATCACTCAATCCTCGTATTAAAAAAATGTATATACAATCTAATTACGTAAGCAATGGTTTTGCTTGGGAAACACATCAAATTGAATTAAATACAGAAACTTGTATAGATTAATGATGTCATGAAGCATGAAAAACGGGGAGTCAAATGAGAGTAAAGTAGAATCTAAACCATTTTTCTGAATTGAACGGGTAGAATGAAGTTCAAAAAATATGCTCGCTATGACGTCAATGGACTGAGCCTGATTCTATGAGGTATGACATTTATCTTGAATGTACCAGCAGATATTCATAGCTGCTTGATAAAAACACATTCTAAAAGGTAATCCTGTGGACTAAGACGCTTCCATCAGCAGTAAATTCTTCAAAAATTCGAAGGTATATCCAATCCAAGCATCTTTTAACAGCGTCTACTTGAGACTGAAGCTTGAGTTTTCAGTTTACTCATTTCCATGGAGAGGGGGAAAAGTGTAAGAGTTAATAGGATTTTTTTCAACTTCAACTTATTTTAGTCTCAAGAGCCGATTATACTAAATACTATCAGGGAATACTTGAGATTCGACACAATTTAAGTAATCCAGTTCTTCCTACATTTAAATCCATTAGATGTATAAATTCAAGCAGGATGTTGCGGAATGTTACCTAGTGACGTAAACAATGATTTTTGGACCACAAACTGGCTAACTTTTGATCTCTTGAGGTTTTGTAGGGATTGTAAATCTTCTTGCTTTCCTTTGAACTCTAGAAACTCTCCAAGAATGACTTTATCTCCCATAAGTTCCAACCTGCAAGATAAAAGGAGCACCGCTCTGTTCAGAACCAAAGGTCTTTGACTTCACTCAAATGAAGCATATTAAGTATGAACTCTAGAACAGTGATATACATGAAGATTCATGAGAACAGATGGCACATGGTACCAAGATGCGATGACTTATAGGGTAACCTGGATGAGTGAAATACTGAAAGAACATTGATATTTGGTTGAAGAAGTGCCATGTATTTGCTATTTATAAAGTAACGAGAAATGTTCTTGTAAAAACTCACTATTCTCTCGAAATTATGCGTAAACAACATCTTTAGTCCACGAAAAGATGGCCTACAAATGATGTCACTGTAATGTCCATAGTCTAACAGTTTTCCTAGTTAAAGGCTGCTGTCCGTCAACATTTTGAACGTGTTGGTCCATAGCACAACAGATAATTGTGGCCACTGCTGGAGAGTTTATCTCAATTAAGGATGCAATACGCCCACATCATTTTATGCTACTCTTGAGAATCAGGACCCCTTTTTCCATTGTTTCTAAGTGTTAGAGTTGGGCCCACTAACCCATTAAGTCTCGGATACATTTTGGGTCCAAGAAATCTGTACCATCACATTCATGTGTAAACGTGTACCCCTAGGACGAAGTCGAGTGAAAAATTCTCTCCACAGTTCAGACCAAGGATTTGAGGATTTCTCACTGTTCTCTGGGCCTTCTCCTACAACTTGAAGGCACCCTTCTTCCTGTCCTACAATTTCTTTTGGTATTCTGGGCCTTCCACTGCTCAAAGGTATTCTTCTGAGTCATAAGCTTTTCTCCATGTTCCACCCTTCTCTCACCATTTGCTAGTGTTCTCCAACAGTTTCTAAGCCATTTAAAATATGGGGGTCCATTAAACGGCTATATATTAGGCCTTCGTGTGCAATGCGGCACTCTCTTGATATCTATGTAGGTGATGAGGGATCTATGAATTGTAGCCCAAATATTTACCTTCTATTTTGACAGACACAACTTCATCTTCTCAAAATCTGACTATTACTGTCTACTAAATGGCATTATCCCTTGGATTGAATATAAGCCGCCACATGTTGTGATCAATTCAAAGTTTCCAATGCCAATACTAAATTGTCCAGTCTCTACATCCCTTTGGAGATTCCACTGGAGATGGAGCTTGTGGAATAGCTACTGCTGAATTCTAATGAGAATGATCAACAAAGGAACGAACCTTCCGAGGGCTCCTCACAAAGACTGCAAGATATCCTCGTGTTACTCATTAAGATAGCATGTGATTCATAAATAGAAACTCTTCAATGTGTGGCCCTCGAAACCAGAATCTTCACTTCCAATAGAAACTCTTCCACTATGTACCTACGTTTACGACGGTATTTAAACTTGAATGAACTATGGTATAAGAATAACTGTTCAATCTTCAGCTAAAAACAAAACCCTTCGAACTATACTTCTGATGCTTATGGTGCAATAAATTTTTTATCATCATGATAATCCACAAAAACCCAACTAATTGATATTTGGGAAGATGAATCTTATCTCAGCATTCAATCCATCATATATCATTACGTCCATGCAAGGCTTTTTGAATCTTTACAATTTAAAGATGATCATAGAAAATATAATTATATGCTTAACCCCTGTTATTTTGAAAAGCATAAATTCTGTGACCACAGAAGCACATGCATTCCTCTTCAGAAAAATGTGCAAGGAAGCTACAAAAGATGCTTCAACAATACTGTACAAAGAATTCGTAAACCATAAATTATCAGTTATCTTTACTAGGAACTCTAATGCTGTTCGCACTGGAGATGCATCAAAAAGTAAAAAAACTAATTAAAAATGAATATAAAGTGACTGCAGAAGATTATCAGACCTATCCCACATAGGAGCTGTGCTTAGAATAAATTGCAGCTTCTGATATATTCCATCTGGCGAATCACCTTTACCACCACGAAATGCATCTTTAATCCAAAGGGGAAATCCACTTCTTCCTTCTGGTTTCAGGTCACTCCATTTATCATGAGTAATGACCTCCGGAACAGAATAGATTGAAGGACTGACCCTAGGAAAATTTGAACAACAGCAAAGCATAGGATTACATACAAGTAGATAATAGTACATTGAAGAAAACAGGTTAAAATGTATAATAAATAAATATGTGCTACAGAAACTTTCCGTGCAACCAAATTACTCCAGTGAATGAGCAGAGTGTTTAACCGATAAACGTATCTATGGATTGGATATTTCCCATATATAAGTCAGGAGGTATATCACAATCACATGAAAACAGAAAACACGAACAAATATTGATGATTACACGCATCATACAACACAAGCATTTTCATGCAAACCTAAGCCAACGTTCTAAACTGCGTCTAATATTTACTAACGGTCACTTCAAGTTTCTTGCTCAAACCACACGTGATAAAAATTCATATGTGACCAATGTTCTACATAAATTTTTGGGGACGTTTGGTTGACTATATTCCTTAAAAATATGCACATGAATAAAAGAACGAACACATATACATACATCTATGTAAATGAATGCTCATATTGAGACTAGAAAATTTTTCTACATTGCTTTAGGCAGTCGCCTGCATTTGATACAGAGATCTACAGTGTTTCACTCAAAAACAGAAAATACTAAGATAATTTGGTATAACCACTAACAAATCACACCTCAATATCATTACGTATTTCTTCCACTTGATTTGTAATAAATCCATTAAAAAGGAACCATGCCATCATCAAACAGTTCTGGGAATGCAAACATAACTTGCAATCATGAGTTAAAGCATATAGCATGTCCAAATAATAAAGTCAAAGATACTTTACCTCGCTAGGTTTTATAAACACAAGCTATGAGTCACCTAGGAGGGTAAACAACTTTAGGACGCAACTTGAACCTACTCTTTCTATATTCTTGTTTCCCTTTGGTTATCTTGGGTCCTACCAATCGCTATGGCTTCAAATCCAAGTAGTGACTGCAAAATAACCTCTATTTGACAATATTTTCTATGTTTTTTATCCACGTATGTAATGTTAAAAAGTGAGAAAAGAAAATCTTAAGGCACTGAATTGGAAAACCGCAAATTTTCCAAGACGTCTGCAGAATTATTTATTTACTTATTGTTATTATTATTATTATTTTATGTTTTTTTCTTTGTCAACAAATTTACTAGGGCAGAAACTTTTGAAGCATAATTGTAAATATTCTTCTAGCTGTACAGGTGCGTACCTGCAGTATGGATTGGGAAGAACTACTCTCGCTCTGAAATACTCTTGAGGTAATGTGACTCCTCGTCGTTCTAAGTATGACTTTAGAACCTCGATTTGCCTTACAGTTTCAGCGACCTGAAGTATAATTTTAAAAAGCGTATAAGTAGCTGAAGCAAAATGATGAAATCGAAGAGTCCAGACTAGAAGACAAAAATTACATTCCTCTGGCCTTATAAAAGTAAGACAATGAGACAAAACACGTGATCTATGCAGGGATCTATGCTATGGAGGGAGAAAATATAATAGGAAAATAATATCAAATATCGGATATGTTATATATTATGGTGAACAGTGTCACTCGCGCTAAAAGTGTGGATTCATTTTTAATTTAATTATATTTTCTCTATTTCACATCCAAGGCATTCTCCTTTTGTACTTTGTTAGCCTATGCAATATGAACTCCAAAACCATATGCTCTACTATCGTAGAAAAGGGGTTTGATGGTATCCATCCTTCAGAGTGCAGCAGAGCCTGTATCATGGTAGAAAGTAGAAGAAATAGAACGTTGACAAACAAAGTACTTTTTTAAAGTTATATTATTTTGAAAATTTACTTTCTAAGCTGTCTAAACAACAGTCTAACCAAAGCTTATCTAAATATCTTCACTCTGAAAATCCCCAGAAATATTTGCTTATATAGAGATATTAAACTTGATGAATTATGCATCCTTGCGGAAAAATGACATGGCACGGAAATAGAGTACAACACAGCTAAAACCACTGAAGATTGGTGACTAATAAACCTCCCGTGATAATAAGCCATCACTCTTTTTCTAACAAAACTAGATCCTCTGCCATTAGAAAATTTTCAACCGTTTCCAAAAAAGCTGTATTTCAGTGCAGCTCCAGCCAAAAACCTTTTTTTCCATTCCAAAAAAACTGTTATTTCCTAGTCCATTCAAACATGATAAAATGTTCTATTTAGGGTTTTTGGACACTCAACATCCGAAATGGTTCATACAAAATTTTAGCTCCAGCAAGAATGGGCTGTGGTGTTATTTTTCAGAACGTAGGAAGTTGCTTTTTAAGGCAGATAAAAATTTAAAACACCAGTTTTGTAAAGAGATGAAATTTCATTAAATCGGACATCTTCATGATTGAAAATATCCAAGAATATCTATCGTACAAGGTCAGTGTAATCCAAGATGAAATGCAAAATCATTTACACTGTACCGTAAAAGCAGCACGGATACTCAATTCTAGTGAGTACATTTCTCCAATTGGAACCTCTGAAGAACAAAGCACATTATGCAGGAGAAAGCAGACACAAAAACTGAAGTAAAGATAGAAGGGAGTGCATGGTAGCGTTTATTCTTCTCAGAAAATGATCTCACCAAAGTATTTCAAAGGTCAACAATAACATAAATACGGAGCTCCACATAGAAAACCCTTTTGAAGACAATAAAACGGACAGGGGGAGTAGGCACACCGGGTAAACTTTTCTGTAGCGCGTTAACCAGAACGAAGGAGATGAGAAGAGCTCACGCAAATGATCAAAAAAATCGGAACAAAGACACTGCGGTTGAAGACCTCTAATTATAATTAATCAGGACAGAAGTATAAATAACAGCCAATTAGAAAGTGTGCGAGAGAGAGAGATGAGGAAGAGCAAATAGAAAGGCAGGTGTACACAAACCGGATCTGCATGTACTCCCTTTTCACCTTGTCTGTCCCCCGCGCAAATCCAGGTGCGATCTTTGCCAACCTCCACATATCCACCAAAGTTCCTAACCGCGATCACGATCATCTCTCTGCGAAGAATCACAGTAAAAACCCCATGTAAAGACAATAAATACAACGAAAAACAAGATGTTGATCTGACCAAAATCCGCTGAAGTTCACCGTACTGACTACAACGGAAGAAAAAGTAGACCTTTCCGTGACGAGGACGGCATCAATACTCTGCCTACTCCCACTGTCGGCATCAGGAATTCGGAGCCCTACATATGCCTTCCCGCCATACACCTTCTCAAACCTGCAGAAACCACACGACGACCCCGAATTAGGACCATGCAACGCCCAAGGGTGGGATTATAGGCAGAGGCTTAACGCTTCGTGAGACCTGTCGGCGACGAGGAAGCAGAGGCGGGAGTCGCCGCTGTCCAGCCGTGGAAATTTATCACTGTCGTTGAGGAAGAACCGCCACAAGAGCTTGTAGATGACTACCCCGCAGATGATCTCCACCCACATGATGGCACCTCAACGCCCTTCTACCAAAGCACGGGGTAGGGAAGAGGGGGGACGTGGAGCTGGCCGGCGGCGATGGTCGGACAGGTCGCCCGGTGAGGACGCCGTAGGCCAGCGCGTTTGGGGACAGTAAAGCTTAACCTCTAAGGCTCCGCCCTGAAGAAACGAACCCATCCGCGTAACGGCTATCCGGGCCCGGCCCACTAATGACGCCCACTTTCTCGGGTCTAAAATTATTGGGCCCACCATCGTAGTTTCTAATAATATTAAAATATTTATCTGAATTATAATATTATTAAAAATTATCACGCTAAATCTCGCCGTTGTTGTACCAAAGTTGGGCACCAAATCTTTCCGTCAATATTGCATGTAGGGTGACTCTCTTAGATATATATATATATATATATATATGAGTTTAATTCGGTCGATCCCAATTTACAGTCCCAATGGCCCATTCCAGTCTTCCTCTCCCACTCTCTCTCTCTCTCTCTACTCTCGTAGTCTGTGTGCCGCCCTCTCTAGGCACAATAGAGAGTACCCTTTCATAGGTGAAGGCCAGGCCCAGCCCATCCCCCTATATTCGTCAACTTAAGAACATTATTGAATAAATAAATACGAAATATTTAGACACCGGAACACCCACCATCCTTATAAATACACCCTTCGAAAAGCCTAATTTCTCAGATAGATAACAGCAACGCAATTTCCACCTCAACTGATCATAAAATAATAATAATAATAATAATAATAATAATAAATCGCATTTAAGCAAGCTTCTCTCAAAAATGGGATTAGGAAGCTCCACTCCAGCCTGCCCTTCCTGGGTAGAAAAGGAGAAGAAATAAGTTTTTAGTCCGAATAATCATAAAAAAATGCACTAAGTAAGCTGAATTTCTTCTCACTAGAACAGACCCTCCTGAGATGGCAGATGATCCAAAGACACAAATTCAGCCCTGCACGGAGATGGCAGAGAGATCTCTCTCTACGGCATCCTTGATCTTCTTCTCGGAACCCCTCCTCGACTTGCCGGATTTCCTCTTCTTCAGGTGGAGCTTCTCCTCTGCAGCTTCGTCTCCACCGCCGCCGATCTCCAGCTCCGACCCGCCAATCCCCGGCCACCCACCGCCAGGCCCGGCAAGCAATCGGCTGCCATCCGGCGGAGAAGGTGCTGCTGCCACCGGCTCCAAGACGGCCATCCGGGCCAGCGTGTAGTCCAGCAGGAAGGCGCTCCTCGTGAGCCTGTCGATGCGGCTGAAGTGCCTCTGCGAGTAGGGGATCAGACCCTCCAGGAGCTCCCTCACACCCTTCACCTGAGAGAGTCAGAGAGGAGATGATCATGAAGCAGGGCTTTTTCATGAAAACCCAGTATGAGGCGTGGGTTTAATGGCTATTACCTGGATAATCTCAGTAGGGGGGAAGACTCTGAAGATCCGGAAGAGCACAAACTGGGCAACATGGCAGCTCTGGGATCTCGTGTTCCATTCTCGAACGAATTCAAGTAGCAGGCGGAGCTCTTCCTTCCCCAGGGTCCGGACGACCTCCTCTATCGGATCGTCGGCGAGTCTCTCCCTGTGGATCGAAATTCCCAGCGAAGAACATGAGAGGAAATGTGAAGCAATGTGATCCAATAGCAAAACAGCGGGTGTGAGGCATCAAGAACTTCGTCGATCACCTGCAGAGTTCTGAAAATAATCGGAACAGCTTGTGAGGCATACGGAGCTCAAAAGCAAGCTGGATCGTTCTCACGTAGTCTTTATCCGATAGAGCATTCTCGAGCTCCTGACTCTTCAAGGCGACCTCCTCCTGCACGGACACATAAATAATCCATAAATAAATATGGGTGCAGAATAATGACACCGACTGTTCTTCATCTTATTTAATTTGTTGGGAAAATAAGGTGAAAACACCGGGAAGAATTAGATAGGAAAAAAGTCCGCAGAAAAACAGTGTCAACAAGTTAATTTTAGCAGATTTTGGATTAAGTTTTCCAACTTGTTGATGATCCTCACGTAGAAGGTAGTGAAGACCCAAGTTAGGGCATCATCAATGAAACTTAGTATCTTCTTCCTCCGTAGATTTCTTTCCTTTCCCAGCTCTTCCCCCCACCCAAACCACAAGGGTTTCCTCCCAGCTATCCTAGATCTGAGGACTTCACTATGTTCGATCTTCAACACAACATAACGTTCAACACACAGAAGTTCTTGAAGTTTTCAATGACAAACAGGTGAGACATTGTTAGAGATGATCAAATCCACTAGGGAGAAGAAGACATCGGTGTCTGAAAGCGATGAGAACCTGAGGAAAACTATCTAAAAACAGAAATAAAATCTGTAGATGAGGAAAACTAGGTACTTTGAGCAGTGAACTGGCCAAGAGAACCTACTGTTTTACGCAAATCTTCCTCTTTATCTGCAGCAGTAGAGTCCTCCCACAAATTTATAACCGCGTCACCACCACCAGTGGCAAGTCTTTCTGTCTTCTTACCAACAGCTAATGCCCAAACCTGAAAAATGAACTGGCGATCACAAGAGAGAAAAAGGGGAGAAGAAAAAGGGCTACAATATATATAGAACACAAAGGGCAGGAACTTTCTAATCGACAACCTTTACACTTCAGAGGCATTGACCCTAACATTGTCATCTTCGATTATTGCATGTATATGACAATGCATCTACACATGAGACTCCCACATAGGCCCTAATCTGTTGGTTCATGCTGAGATTTATCAAGCAGCTAGTGAGTGGACCTTGTGTTGCATGATGGGATTAGAAGAAACAGAGAAGTATACGAGAAATTCCACAGGTGACAACAAACATCAGTTACTCAATTAGAGTACCGTTATTTCAAGAAGAAATCATGGTGCTCCTCGAACAAGTTCTATATCTTCCATGTCCACATCATGGACATCCATGTCTGATACCAGTGATGAACTCAAGACGGTTTTCGTCTTAGAACCAAATTAGTAACCCAAAAGTCAGCTTATCTGGCTATAGGTAGCCGAAGAACTGGGCAGAAAAAGATATTAACCCAGAAGCATAAAATTTCGGAGACTTTCATCTCACAGATGTCCCAGCAGATGAGAAAATATAGTTTCTTGGATACAACCAAATTTCTAGTGCGAGAAAGAACGAAAAAGAAAAATAGAACTTCGTCCTTAAATCTTAACAGGCAAGATAATCGATTAGAACCAGAGAACATTTATTTAAAAATGCCATACACAACCTTGGATTCATGTTGGTCATAAGTAGCAACGCACTCACTGGTTTTCACAGTCCAAAGCTTGAGCAACCCATCAGCACCTGAACCACAGGCAATTAGAGTTTTCAAAGTACCACAAGGAGAAAAAAAAAGAAATCTGCTGCAAGAAAAGATGGTCAGTTACCGCATGAAACAAGCTGCATCCCCCTGGTAACAAAAGAAGCTCGCAACACACCAGCAGTGTGGCCTTCAAATGTTCTTAAGCATGTTCCGTCAGATATAAGCCAATATTTAATGGTCTTATCACCAGAGGCTGTTAGCACACATTGGTCTACCGGAGAAAACTCGACAGACCAAATTCCCCTCTTGTGTCCTTTCAGTACAGCAACCGACACCAGATCTGGAAGCCTCCACACACAAGCATTTCGGTCCTGAGAATTGAATCCACAGTTCAAAAAAAATCGAGATCCTCCTCAGAAATTATCAAAATAAAATATCAATAAGATCCATATCCAAACCTGAGAACCACTGCAAACAAGAGCATCATTTGGTGAAACAGCAAGGCAATTGATGTCCTTGTCATGTCCAGCAACAATGGCTTTTGCTTTCAGCTTAGTCTCCTGATTAAGACTTTCTGAGAGACTATCCAAGCCCCAGACTTTGATAGTACGGTCACTAGTAACAAAGAAAAGGCAAAAGAGAAATAAATACGTTAGTAAGTTCACAGAAGATCTCTTTTGTTGGCAATAATGGACAACAGATCCTAAAGCATTAAAATCTCTTTCGTTGTTTTCAAAATACAAAAGCAACTACATATCAATGAGCAAGCCAATAGCAAAACGTGCAAAAGGCCACAAACCGTGTTAATCAGATTAAAAATGATAGGGAGTGAAAACGACAAAAAAAATAAAGCAAAAGGACAACAGTCACCAGCACCCATCTGTAAAATACATAATGACGAATGAACCAAATGAATTTCTATTCACTCTGAAAATAAACCGGAGTTTTCCTCATCCCACTGATTTCATACATGTGAGTTGAAAGACAAAATAATCGTATTAAAAAAGAAAGAAAGAGAAACAAGAGAGGAAAAAAGAATGAAGGAACTACGGAAGGAAATAGGCTAAAAAGATGATGCAGGATCAATCAAGTGGGCGGAATAACGGACCACTTGGGCCTCAACTGGCGTATAGCTCGATCACTGGAAAAGATAGCCTATTCATCTTCAAGGATACCCAAAACAATTGAGCCAAAAATCACTAAGAACACAACAGAATGAATATACACAATAAGTAACCTTATTTTTCATTTATAAAAACTGATTTCACATGAATTGACAGCATTCAGAAATTAAATTAACCTTACCTACTTCCACTGACAAAAAAATTTCTGTGTTTTTTTGAAAATGCAACAGCTCCAACAGCCCCCATATGACCACTAGCAACTCCCACACAACGTTTGGAAGCAGCATTCCACAATCTGACCTAAAACCAAAATAGCATCAATTAAGAATGCCTGACGTTGTAAGAAAAAACCCCCAAAGAAAGATTAAAAAATTAAAAGCGAGAGACAAAGACCGCTGATAGAATTTTGATGATGTCCAAGCAAGAAAAATGCAAGCCATCTTGAAAACTAAATGTATCCACTGTGAAGAAAATATTGACTCACACTGTTGTCCTTGCTCCCAGTCACGATGTATGCCTTGCCAGTGTTCAGAACACATGTGTCAAGACAAAGCACAATATCTGTATGACCCACCAAGACATACGAACATGACATTGTCCCAACATCGTAAACCCTCACCTGCATACACAATCATCTCTCCGATAAGATATCGAAACTTAAAGAACAGAAATTTGGACAAAAAAAATGCAGATGCAAGAAAATAGAATCGGACAAATAGCTAACACGGGACACAAGGGGAAGAAGGATAATTACTAGCTACGATTCTCAAACAAGTGATGTACCAAAAGTGAGGCTCACAAAAGTACAGCACGAAAGAACTAGCACCAAATCAGAGTACTGTTATTAAAAAGAAGTGAATTCCCAGCAAGATAGATGAAGAGAAGACAAATAATCCATTCAGAAAATCACCTCTTCCAAGTTTGTTGCCACAGCAAGAAGCTGTTCATCTTCACCAACAAACTTCAAATCAATAATCTCCTCATTATAACCAACAAGACGCTTGTATAAATTGAGCTGTAATTCCTTTTTAGGAGCTTGATCAAAGTTGTAGAAAAGAAACTGCTGATCAGAAGTGACACAAAGTAATCCTTGATCTAGAGGTAGTACAACAGCCGATATAAACCCCCTCCTCGAGTTATCTTCTGAGACCAGGGTGGTATCCGAAGATTGCTGCTCATACAAGCATAGAGTGCTGTTGAGGTAGAAAACGTTGCCAAAAGAAAACTATTTGGTCATGCTGAGTAGATGAAACTTAATAAAAAAACAATAAACACACTGCAAGCCAAATACCTTTCAGAACTCCAGATTCGAACAATGCCCTGTTCGCCAACCGTTAAGAACCAAATCGACACTGGACTGCCATCTTTTCGCATTTTTCTTGTAGATTCAAATGTTTGAATATAAGAGGCTAAACGAGTTCCAGGGTATATAACCCTGACGTCTTCAATCGTCTCGTATGTTGGCACTGTCTTCTTAAAACTATAATCACGCAAATCCCACAAGTTCACAACCTGATATACATAACCATAAACATTTAGCCAATGAATAAGCATAGTTAACTAAGAACCAAGGAAATTCTGGGAAGATATAAGATTGTGGGAAAATTCACAGGATATTAATAGGATACATGGCTTGTTCCTTATTCTAACAAAACATGGGACATCAATGTATTCATTTCATTATTTCTTCCCAAGAAACAGAGGAAAAAGAGTTGTAGTTGATTGGGAGCAGGAAAATAAGATTAATCGTTCATCCGTAAGACCAACTAGTAGACCCAGAAGACAACTCAGGAGCAAGACTCATGCTCGAAAAAAAAAGTTGTAACAAGAATTTGCCTAAAACCAATTACCAGTGAAAAGAATACACAAGCAAAGAAAACATTTCTCAGAGGCAATGTTCCAGTTCATAAAAGTATAAATGAAGCAACTGTAATGTTGATGAGCTCAAAATGGTATTAAATGACAGCCATGCCTTATCTCGGCCACCACTGAGCAAGATTTGATCACTCTCTGATAATGCCAAGGAGGTCACAGTTGAGAAGTGTTTCTCTAGCACAGCAACACATTTTTTAGTTTTCAGGTTCCAAACACGGACAGTTGCATCATCACTTCCTGAGAAAACCTGGGACAATAGAAAACCATCATTGTAATGATAATAAACTTCAACTAGTAGGGGGAAAAAAATGGAAAGAGAGAGTCATCAAGAAAACTTGAAAGTTTTAACATGCGTGAAAGACAACTGGAATCAAAGTTTAAACTTTTATACAGCACAATAAATCAAATAATGCTTGTAACGCACTCAGACCCATGCTGTGGTGAGTGTTCTTCAGTAAATGTTTATGGTAGAAAAGAAAACATAGAGTCAAAGCCATAACATGACGACGATTCCCTATTTCTTCCACAAAAAAACCAAAAGGCACTTTCTCAAGGATAAAAAGAGCCCGATATTTTTTCGGAAAGAGAATAGACAGAAGCTATTTAAGAGGGACACTATATCACCAATAAGAGACAAAAAGGAAGACACAGAATATAGCACAACGTACCTCTCCAAAACGTGTGCAAAATGGATCACTGGCAATCCATAAAAGTGGCAGTGATGACTAAAATTCATTACCAGGGAATCCAGAAAGCCACACTGGACCGCTTGAAACAAAAAATTGAAGGGAAAGGAGTGTGACAATAAAATAACTGGAGAAGCAGCAGAAGCCGCCACATCACAGCTAAATCAGAGAACCAACGAGGCACAGAAGTGCAGGAGGGTTTCCCTTTTCTCTTGCTCATCAGCCCTTTCCCATTTTTTCCTTCCCCTTAACCCAGAGCCCTCACCCAAAATAAACATTGAGATTATGCATCAACTAAAACGAAGAAGAAAACACTTTATACACTCTTTTTTGTGTGCTTGCTCCTGAAAAGAGTAAGGACTCATTCCACATCAATGGAGATCAGAATTGGGTAAGACTGCTGGTTTGATCTCATTTCTTTTTTTCCCCCACTGCCCTTTCCGAACATTAGTAAACTGCATGTGAAGAGGTTCAATATTCTTAATCGGATAGCACGAGTCCTTGTGGAAACGAACCTTTCAGCATGATATCTCATCAGATGGGACGAAAAAACCGTCAAAACCTCTAGAATTGCGTAATCTCTTTCCAACTGGTGCCAACGTGGAGGTTTTTTTTATGAACCAAAATTCTGGGAGGGCAGAATTTCCCTAATGCTTAGGTTAAGAGGAAATGATTTCAATTTACCATAAGGGCATCCCTTGGCCCAAAATATGAATCAGAAAATATTTATGTGATTTCTGAGTCCATAGAATGCACCAGCAAAGGCTATCAACAAGTCTTTGGAACGCAAAAATTGCATGCCCGTTGTAAAAGAGCATTACTTTTACATATTCCTCCTTTTGATTGCCCCTTTCATGTCCTGTATCTTTCTGGATGACAACTTCGACATATAAAATCTCAAACCAGAAGGCTCTCCGGCACTCAACATATCCTAACATATGGCAGAATTCATAATTGAAAATAAAGAAACTGGGACAAAAAGTTCCAATATGAAATATACTGTCAGTGATATCCTTTGGGAAACGTACCCTCTCCCATGTAGTAACATCCCAAACACTACCTGCCGATCCTTCACGAGTATAAGAAAACATGCTAAAAACACTGCTTAAAAGGAGAAAAACTGTCCTGAAATTTTTTGTATCCCAGGATGCTCTTAAATTTACTTCTTCCAGTTCGAATTCAGTTCAAAATACTAGTGCAAGAAAAAGGAACATCAGTCAAGATATCCCATTTCCCTAGTTTTCTGTTAAACATACCTAATTACCTCAGAGAACCAGAAAAAAAAATGCATCTATGCATTCTGTAATATTGAAATTTTAAATTCCAGTAATTTACAGAAATATTAGTCAAGGAACATTGGTACAATATATTCTAAGCTGAAATACTGAGAAACGTCGCAAATCTTGCATAGCGGCACATACAAAATATCAGTCATACTAAGCACCTGTACGAGTGGAAAAGATGAAAAATTATACTAAGGGCACCATTGCCGTTCTTTTAGGGACTGTATGTACAATCAGTAATCGATAACAAGACATGCATAGCTTTCAGAAACCACTTACAAGCAGACAACTCGGATCTGGATGAAACATAATGCTAGTAACGACCCCTCCATGACCTTTAAAGAAATGAGTGCAGTATCCCCCATCAACATCCCAAACAAGGACCTTTCTATCAGCTCCCGCTGTAGCTAACAAGCCTCCAGATGAATGGCACGCCATGGCCATCACGGGCCCATCATGACCCTGTCGTAAATAGAGAAAACCGACATCAATGCTTATTAGAGCATATCTCAACGTCAAACTAATGCACTGTACAAGGAAGAGTATTTATCTGTTTTTGTTAATGAGAAAAGAAAACGAATTACATCTATCAAGATTCAGGGAGGCATTCAAAGGAACCGCTCGAAAGTTGCCATGGTGAACAATTAGAATCTTTATGGAACTCCCAAATTATCGATGGCAGGATAGCCATCCCGTCCCTTAGGCTTCAGTTTCATGGGCATCACCGTGCACAAAGTACACATACGTCTATTATTTAAGCAGGCATGAAGGATATCTACATTACTACTTATGAAAACCACCAACATACATTAGCGACATTTATACGGCCCATGCCTAAGAAATCACTCCGCTACCATAGGAAGAAAAGAAAGACCTCTGACGAAGGGCTACCTTCCAGGAGCGGACGCACTTGAAGGACGAGAGATCCCAGACCCTGATAAGCCGGCTATGGCTGGCAGAGAAGAGAAATTTATCGTCGGGGCTGAGGGCCAAGGCGGTGACCGCCTCCGTATCTCCCTCCAGCACCGCCCGAACTGAGGCGCTGCATGCGTTGACCAGCTTCACTTTGTCGTCGCAGGCGCAGGCTAGGAAGGAACCGTCGGAAGATACGGCGTAGGGGCGTCCATTGTAAAACTGCTGCAGCGACTGCACGCACCGATAGTTCCTCTTCAAACCTCGAAAAGCCAGCGCAGAGGCCTCCGCCTCCCCCGCCCCAGCCATGCACGGCGCGCCCTACCCCCCCTTCTTCCACCCGGACTTGCCACACTCTCGCAAGCAGGAAGATGGAAAATTGCAGAGACCTTGGGTTATGGCGCCTAGGGTTTTACCTATCGGAAGACGACGAGACTGATGGATCCTTGGCAGGCTAAACCCGACCCGGTTTCATATCCGAACTCATCTCATCTTTTATCCTTTTTATCGAATCACGTTTTAAATATATTTGTATTAATCAGCTTAAAACAACACATTACAATTAAAATCTCTCTCTCTCTCTCTCTCTCTCTCTCTTTCTCTACACGGCGTTTTTTACACACGATGGCATATTCGTAGATAATCCAAGCCTGTGTTGTTCTGGTTTTAAAAGTCAACTCTGTTCACCCTGATTCACGACGAGCAAGACCAGGCAAGTCAAACGAACAGTTTTTTGCGGCGCTGACTTTTTGTCTACTAAGATGGTTTTTGCTCACCAAAATGATTATGGCTCAATAATTATTAGATAATATCGAGAAAATGAAATTATATATCTTTGCGGAAATTGGTAATCTTGGGACGTTGATGGAAGGAATATCCCAGGAACATTATGCCCGATATTTTACCCCAGTAATTATATAAAATAGAAAAATATTTTTTAGCGAATTAATTTATATATTTTATTCCACGAGGTAAGACGAGGGTGTGTATAGGAGAGAGTACTTTTTTTCAACAAAGAGGGACATAGGGACAAATACGTTCCCCTTTGGGGTCAGTATGTAATTTAGTTATGTTTATCCGCCCGATGTCACCAACCAAACAAATTATTCTTAGCCGTCCGATCTCGACGCAACGGCTAGGAAGGTCTCCTGGGCCGTCGTACGTGTTTCCACGCAACGAATAGGAACTTGACGCGTCACCTTTACCCGCTTCGCACCAGGAGCTACGCACAGTTCTCATCCGACATTCGTATCCCAGACGCCCATGAGTGACAGGCAGGTGCCGCAAAGAATATTCTCTTCTTTTATCTCAGAAAAGCAGGTAAATTATAAAAAATAAAATAATCCCACCTCGTTAATTTAGAAAATAACTAGTTTTCAGCTTTTTAATATTTATTTCAAACGACTTCGAAATCATCATCCGGTCTGTTTGACCGAATAGAGACTTTTTTACAATATAAAATTAAATGTGGTATACTTGACAGTGAGTAAAATATTTTGGACTTTTTTTTATTTCGCGAGAGATGGAGAAGCAGTGTGAGAGAGAGTATGAATACAATTATCAATTACAGACAATTTTATCTTGTTTACGCTCGTACTTCTCTACATTTTCCCTTTTGCTCTGGTGGCGTTAAATACCCCCTTCCTCGTCTTCCTCCTCCCCCCCCCCCCCTTCTCAGAACCAGGCCCTCCATCGCCGTCCCCACTGGAGCCTTCGACCTCTGGCCGCCGCGGCTTCCTCCGATCGCCGCAGTAGGAGTGAGAAGACGCCATCGCAGCTGTGGACGTGCTGCTCGTTTCGCCTTCCGATTTCGCCTCCCTTTCATATCAGTAGGGTTGTGCGGCCGTCGACCTCTTCGGCGATACGATTGAGTGGAAGAGTTGATGGTTTCTTCTTTGCATAGAACCCTCGCCTAGCGTTGTATCGCTTCCCTCTACATGTCTCTCCGCTGGTGCTTGTCTGAAGAGGGGCTCCGTATGGACTTCTTAGATGCCGCTCGTCTTTCGGCTTCACAGCTCATCTTCTCAATTCCTGCGAGGTAGAATCGCGATCTCTGATTCCGTGCACTAAAGAGGAAGGCGATGGAGGGTGGAAGTTCTGGTGGAAGCTCGGCAGCTGCGAACGGGAGCCTGAATGCAAATGCGCCGCCCCCATTTTTGAGCAAGACGTATGATATGGTGGACGACCCTGCGACGGATGCGATCGTCTCTTGGGGACCGGGCAGCAACAGCTTTATTGTATGGAATCCACCAGAGTTTGCAAGGGATCTTCTGCCCAAGTACTTTAAGCATAATAACTTCTCCAGCTTCGTTCGCCAACTCAATACCTACGTACGTTCCTTCTAGTTCTTCCGTCTATTATTATTTTTCTCGCTTAAATTTTTGAGGGTTTGATCTTCCTGAAATGTAGATCTTCGTTATGCCTTTTAATGTGTATGATCTTTATATGTTTCATCTCTCGGAAGGAGTCATAATTACTTCTGTCCTTTCGGAATATGGCTGGAGAATTTTCTACCCCCGCCCTGTGAGAATTGAAAGGTAGAATTTCCAGAATTCAGGAAATATAGCTAGGTAATATGTGGTTGGATGCTCTGGCTTATAGGCCTTGGAAGAGGATTGAGTCTGTAATTTAGCTCAGTGTGATTTTCTTATCAACATCTTTGATCCCCGAGTGTGATAAGATGTTCTTTTGTCGAAATTGAATGGAAATCATTACAATATTTGTAGAAAAAAGGGCAATGAAACACTGATTGTTGTCATAGGTGAATACATCACGATCAGTTATCATCTCTATCGGTGGCCATTTTCATTTTTTTCTGAAAGTTTGCTTATCATCAGTTTCAGAAGGGGGTGAAGTTACATGTGAGTGCTAATGAAATAAGAGGATAGCAGGCGGCCTGCTTCCTGCTTTTCAACAGTTGTGGGGACATGAATAGCAGGCCAGTAGCTGCAGATTCTCCGTCCTTATTATTATTCCTGTGCTTTGTTTTCTGTATCTTATCAGCAACCATTGAAAAAAGCAGGCTAGAGGAGCTGAAGAAGATAGCCTTAGTTCATTTTTAATTAGCTCTTATGCCTCTTCTGCCCGAAATATAAATCAAATTCCTTTCAACCCCATTGTCTCTGTTATTGCTAGATGTTCAGATTGTCACGATAGAGAATGTGTAGTGCAAAAAGTTTGATAAAGAACTTTCAGGGTGGTGGGGAAGACTTCTATCTCTTCGGTACCATAAACTCTGTTCAAACGGTGATGTATACTATCATCATATACTGCCTTTCCCTTCTCAGGATTCCAAAATTGGAATTAGGCTATTGCGTATTTGATGTAGAATTTTCCACATGAGCTAGGGGAGATATTGTGTTTTGAAACATAAGGGACTTCACTCAGGCACAACTAGGAATCAGTTGTGCAAGCTATGAATTCTGCTTTGAAGCCAATGGCTTGAGTGGAGAAGGTATACATGCCATAAAAGAAAGGTGAGATATGCGACGCCAAGTGTATTGCATGATACTTGTGTTTGAAAATAGATTCTTTAATAAGGCAAGGAGACTTTGTTGATATCCTGGTGTCCTTGTTGAATTAGTGGATGATCTTGTTAATGTCTGGCAGACAAAGTTGAGATGTGATGTAGGACATCGCCTGCAACAGAAAGAAGGGCGAAAAATTGTTAACCCAGGTGGCCCAATACTAGTGGGTCAGGCGTTCTGGAAGCTTGTGCATGGGCTACAAAGACGAAAGCATCCAAAAAAGCCCAAAGTTAGATTAGGCTCAAATGAAGTGCAAGAAGACTGAGTCATACCTAGGTTGCTGGGTAGAGTCTGTTATGTTCTGTTTCTTTCTTTCTCAGTTTCTGTTATATGTTTTTGTTGTCTATTTCAGGGACAGGCTCAGAATTTGTTTTGATTTTGTATCGAAGTCTGTTTGCTTTTGGGGCATTCCACTTGTTTTTTTTAGCCTATTTAAAAGCCCCCACATTTTAACTCGAGGCGATCTTAGTTATTACAAATTTTGGTTATCTTTGAGAGAGTTCTTAAGTGTTTGTAGATTCAAGCGCCTACCTTGTGGATTCAAGGGAATATTGATCCTTATAGATTCAAGGTTCGCCGCATCAAGTCCTTGTGAATTCAAGGACCCGAGAAAATCGTTCCTTGTGGATTCGAGGTCCGATTTTCACTCTTCCTACATTCCAGATTCATATCTTGTAGATTCAAGGCTCAAATCTGTTATTTCTGCAACTCTACCTCCATCAAATCGTCATTTCATCATCACTCACCGTGTCAGGATGGAACACTGGTGGACTTATTTATCTCTCTTTATAGCAGTGGTAGAAAATTAAAGTTCATAATAATTAGGATCTATGATAAAGGACTATGTTTCAGAGGAATTTCCTGGCATGAAAGAAATGGTATCTTGATATTTTGGGCTGTCTGAATGTTTATTTTGTAATTTGTAGGGGAACTGTTTGGTAAGGAAATGGTGTTTGAATTCTTCTCTAGGTATAAGGAACTGGGGACGAGGTTAGGAAAGTGATTTTAGAGTCTTCTTAATGTTTCATATCCATCTATTGGGGACAGGGCATGTGGCACCGCATGTTAGATTGCATCCATGTGATACCTCATACTTTTGATTGGCTATTGTAGTTTATGTATAGAAACAAGACGACCCGTTTCCCATGTGATGATGTTGATGAGGCAGTGTGGCTCACACATTTCATAGTTGCTTTTTCTCTACAATTTTTGGGGAGAAGGGATGTTATGCTTCTCCAGTATGAGGGTTTGCTTGAGAATGATTGATGAAGTGGACCAGTTTCCTGTGTTGAGAGAATGCCAAAGCTGGTTCTTATAATGTGCTATTTTTACTTTCAAGTGGATTCACGCTGTGTTATCAAAGCCAAATGATTGCATGTGATACTTTTGCTCCGTCTTTGGACTTATTGTTGTTGTCACCTGGCCACAGAACCGCTGCCATGGTAATAAATACCTTATAGAAAATACATGGTACAACCTTATTACCTAGTCTAAATGCATAATTTCGGCCCTTCTTTTGAAACAAAGGATTCCTGTTAAAAGCAAGCATGTGAAATCCACTTCCAATGGTGTTTGCATTACTATGCTTAACTGAATTTTTCATGTACTTTATTAATCTCTTTTAAAAAAGAAGTGCCCACAGGCCATCCTTGCTAAATCTAAGTTTAGGGCACCAGACTGGCATAGGAGAGAGATAATTTATATGATATTTACGAAACGAAACAAAGAAGGTGATCATGCGAAGAGTAAAGCGTCTGAAAGAAAAGTGCAAAGATTGACTTCAGAAGCCAAGACAAGGTGAGAAAGAGTCTATAATCAGACGAATGGAAGCTGGCAAGAGCACAAAGGAGATTGATTAGAGGAGAAGAAAATAGTGAGCTTTAGCTGATGCATTTCAGATGATTTCTCACGCTAGCTTTACCCCTCTTTTGTATTTTTTCGTTAGTCTTGTTAGAAGAGAAATAAAACACTTAAGCTTTATCGCAATTGTGTTTCAGGGGAAAGAGTCTCTAATTCTTTCCCCGTTGCCCAGGCTTTTGATGGTGAACTATGCGTGGGTTTCTTGCTTGGGCCTCTTGTTTTTCTTTCTGCCTCACTCTGTCTTGTGTAGAGCTCTTCTTATCTCATACCTTTATAGGAACCCCTTCTCCTATGGTTGTAGCTTAATTTTTTTGAACTGTCTTCAGTTTTCGATAATCAGTTAATTCTGGTGCATCCACTCTGTACAAAATACGGTGTTTGGGCGGGATTTCATGCAAAAAAATAGCATTTCCGATTAACAAACCATCTCTCTCTTCCCCTTGTCACTTGATTTCCATGCACAAAGTATTGACCAATATATTGATACTTGACAGTCAGATATTAATTTCCCAATATGCAATGGGTATTCTATTAGCATGCAGAAGACAGGTACCGAACTGAGGATGGAACACAATCTTTGTTTTGTTGGTATGAATCCTCGTTCTGTTTGTTCATTGCAAATTTGTGAGGCAAAGTGTCGGAACTACCAGACATCCCCATCCTTCTCTGTCGGGCACCTTCTATTCCATTCTTGCAGTAGCTCCATACATTGTAGGATCTCCCTGTTAGCTGTGCTTCATGAGAATTCTTTTTCCTAAACAGTTAGAATCAGAAAATGCACTGAACACGCCTTCTTACCTTTCGTGGTCTCTTATATCTCCACAACACCAGGTCCCTCCATGCTCTCATTCCCACCTCCATCTCTCATACCCGGCTTCCCTGCCCTGTTTCTTCTTGGTGCAGTACTTTCTTTCTAAAAATGGGAGTCTCTCACCTCCTTATGTCCTTACGAACCTCTTTCGCTACTATCTGTGTTCTCATGCAATAATGAAGAGCGATGGGTGCCTCTGCCAGCATATTCCTATCTGAATGAACATGCAGTGCAATCTTAAGTCTGACCATGTTTTTCCCCAATTTGGGATAAGAGCCTTCCTTTCCTTGTCAGCGCTCCTCTCTCAAGCATCCCACTTTGAACCAGGTATTCCTGGCTTATTATATTTATGCATGAAAGACCTCCTTGTTTTCAAACAGGGATTCAGAAAAGTTGACCCTGATCGATGGGAATTTGCAAACGAGGGGTTCCTGAGAGGTCAAAAGTATCTCCTGAAGAACATCAGCAGGAGGAAACCCTCCAGCATGAGCAACCTGCCTACGCAGCCCCAGCCTCAGACCGCATCCGTCGGACCGTGCGTGGAAGTGGGTAAGTTCGGGGTCGAAGAGGAGATCGAGCGGCTCAAGAGGGACAAGAACGTCCTCATGCAGGAGCTCATCAAGCTCAGGCAGCAGCAGACTTCCACCGACCATCAGCTCCAGACCCTCGGCCAGCGCCTCCAGGGCATGGAGCAGCGGCAGCAGCAGATGATGTCCTTCCTCGCCAAGGCCATGCAGAGCCCCGGCTTCCTGGCCTCACTGGTGCAGAAGAAGGACAGCACCCGCCGCATCGCCGCCACCAGCAAGAAGCGTCGCCTCCCCAACGGCGGTGGCAGTGCCGATGCCGATATGGTGGAGCAGGACAATGGGTCCCCCGACGGCCAGATCGTCAAGTACCAGCCCCTCATGAACGAGGCCGCCAAGGCGATGCTGATGCAGATCCTGAAGATGAACTCCTCCCCCCGACACGACGGCTTGTTCCACAACAGCCCTCCTCAGTCGCCCGATGTTCTCGACCGTGGGAGCTCGTACGGTGCCATCACCCCGCCAAGCCCGAGCCTCACCTTCTTGACCAACACTGCTCGGCCTTCAGCCGCCATCTCCGAGATCCAGTCTCCGACAGGCACCGAAGAGGTGGTGGCGGAGCTGCCGAATGGCTCTTTGGATACAGGGCTCGCCGCCGCCGCCTTCCTCGACGAGATGGCGGTGGGAGGCGACGAGGTGCCGACAGAGGATGCAGCAGATATTAATAGTTTCATTGAGGACAGCTCTAAGCTTCCCGGGATCAGCGACTCCTTCTGGGAGCAGTTCCTGACGGCGAGCCCGCCGCCAGATGGAGAGCATGGCTGGGACGGAGCCCAGGGCGTTGACCATCTCACCGAGCAGATGGGCCTCCTCTCCTCTGACCCTGCCGCCAAGTGGTGACCGACAGAGCAAAAGAAGCTGCATCGACAGAGGAAAGGAAGGTGTGTATACGAGATGATAGCGCCCTTTTTTTTTTTTTTTTTTGAAGTCTCATGTATTAGCCGATGGTCTATCTTTCGTGGATGTGCTACTGGAAACTTTGGTACGGGGAGGTGCGGATCTGTCGCTCTCTTTGGGCCGGTTTCCGGACGTCGGGCTGATTCTGAGGCCAATTAAGCAAGCCCGGCCCGTTTCTAAGGTAGGTGTGCGGCGACCGAGTCCTCGACCGTCACCAAGAGAAGACTAACGGCGGTTTGAAGATGCCGTTCAGGCACCGACACCAAAGGATGCGACAAGCGCCGCACGGCCAACACGTTTGTTCCGTGACGTCAGAGAGAGAGAGAGAGAGAGAGAATGTTTCGTCTGATAGGCGACAATTTGTTTCGTACCTGTGTCTCTCAGAGATGCGCACCCAACGCCTGCGCATCGATGAGCAGCAATGGGGATTCTCTCTTCTTCGTGAAGCACATGAACGTGGAGATCGAGAGAGAGGGGGAAGGGGACGCTATAATAAATAACGGTACCTGGACTTCATCAGAAACTTCTCCCGGCAGATCACTCTTTTTGTCCCCCCTACCCTTCTCCTTGCCTCCGGATCTTAGGGTTTCTGTAGAGGCCTTGGATTGGTTCCAGGCCATCGAAGCAGGCGCAGCTCCGATGGCGGTGAGTGACGGCACGTTTCCTTTATGAACTCTCGCTGGGAAAATTGAATCCGCTGATTGTTGTGTCTTGACTTTTCTATTTTCCTTTCCTCCATTTTTACGAAGTCTGCGAGCAAGAGCATTCAGAATTAAAGATGCGATTTTAGTTTCCCTTTTCCTTGCATCTGTCTGTTTGATCTCTTAAGGAATAATGGGATTGCTGATTCTCGTTTTTGCTCTCGAAAAAATATTGCGGGAATTCTCCGATGCACATGTATGTGGGTACAAAGCGTGGATCCGGAGAAGTGGTTTCGGGGCAAATAACGAAGATCAGTGCCTGATCTGTTCGGAAAGTGGTTGTGTTTCACAGTGTCTGTGTCATTTTGTTGAAATTCCTCTTTTGCACCCTTGATAATTTTCCATATGAGTGATTTCTTTTGTGGGTGGACTGCCAAGGTGATGAAGGTCGTCCTCGAGGCATTGACTGGAAGAAATTACTTTGTTATTTTATGAAAACGTTTTGACTTTTTAAAGGAGATTTTTCTTATTAGCGCTCGAAATTTGTTATTGATAATCCATAACTGCCTCCCACATCACATGGTTGTCAGGCAACTTTTGTTGTTCCAAATGGCATCCCTTAGAAACCAACACGTTCTTCTCTCTCATAAAAATGCCTTCTGGAAGAACTATTCAATGTCTTTCTTGGAGATAGGAATACATTATTAATAAGGTTTAAAGGAACACCGTTGTTACATTACATATATCTAATGCGTTGCTATTTCCATCTTTTACCACTGGAAGATATGTTAGCAAAGGCCTTCCACATGTATAAAATCGTTTACCAGATGGGGGAAAAAAAGGAAATGTTCTTTTGAGTTTAACAATTCATTTTTCATTGGCATATAGTAGGTTGTTTTGGAAATACCCTGATCTTGTGATGGGATTTCTTAACCTGTGTGCTGACTGATGTTAAAATCTATGAAATAATGAACCATAAACAATTTAGATCTGAAGGGTTTTTTCTTTTCATATGGATATGTGTTGTTTTATTTTTATTTGGTTGATTCCCATGTCTGGTTATACCAGAAAGCGCCATATTTTACCATGATTACATAAATAATTTTTTAATATTTTATTTTCTCAGAATTTTGGAATAATGTTAATCCTTTTTGACCTGTTAGTGGTGCCTTATCAATTAAACGAATTATATAGGTAGACTAACTTTTGCAAAGAAAATTCGCATGCATGGTATTCTGCTTGAAACATGGATACTTGTTCTTGTCCATTTGGACCATAACATTTTTCCCCTTTTGCAAAAGGTGGGAAGTTTTCCTTCCATCGCCAGGATATTATACTCTCTATTCATGACGTTGCCATCCAATTCGTATAGCTATCTCCGACTTTGTATCTGTAAACGGTTAAGTTGAACTTTCACAGAGCAATATCGTTGGATATTTATTCAGTTTTCAAAGAGCCAATGTATATGCATTGGTGTCATTCAAATAGTCAGATTTATGATCTTATAAGCAGCTATGCCTCCTGGTTTGCAAAACAAGGTCCTGGTAGTAGAGCTTATGGCGTACGATAAAATAAACACACCTTATTTCGTTGCAGACATTTGGCGTACTATAAAATATTGGTAGTAGAGCTAACAGCGGACGAATTTAATTGATTTTCGTCCTCTTATTTCAGTTATTAGTAGTGTCCAAAAAATTTAGTTTAGAAGATCTTATCAAAAAGGGGTGATATGGCCATTGAGCCATGCTCGTTGGCCCAATTGGCTTTGTCACAAACCTTTCTTCTCCTCTCCCCAGCTATAAATATGCCTCCCCCCCCCCCCCATGCTAATTAGTACTAACCATGCTCGTCCTGGTTGCTTAATTTGGTTTCCTTTTCTCTTCATTGAGTAATCATCTTTTGAAAAGATTAATGTTTCTGTAAATTTTCTGCATTAAATTTGTACAGTTACATGCCTGAAAACGCGGTCACTTCTAATCCAGCCAAGAAAAAAATTGTCCTTGGATTAATTCCCCGGACTCAGCTGATCTTTTGAATAAAGCCTACAAATTCTGTGTCCAGGACAATACAGTTCCATCAGTGAACAGCGTTTTTATCAACTTGTTTGATCCTTGTCATGTATCAGGGTCAAGATGTCTACGGATTTGAGCCGGGCAAGAATCTTATTCCACTGTCCATGTGAACATCCATGTTGGAAGTTCTAAATTTACAATGTGTTTTTTTTACAAGGGAATGAAAAAATACTTGAAAATATTGCAGAAAATTACTGCTGAAAAATATTTGAATTTTTTTTTTAAAGCCAATATATCCCTTCCTCCATCAACCTTGTGAATAGTTGCTTTAAATTGTTGATCTCCAAGTAGAATGAGCCTATGTATTAAACTTCTTGAAAATACCTCATGTGAATGAATGCCAGGAACGGACATTTTAACTTTCTATTTATGTAACTCCATATGATCCTTGATTTTGTGTATAATGTGTGCCACACGAAAACAAGTGGATGATAAGGCAGTTTTACTACCTATGGTATTATTATTGACCCAGAGATCAAAACTAGCGTTATTCACAGATCAAAACTAGGTTTATCACTCAAAAATCGGGAAGATATCTCACCCCACCGCATTTCTTTGTCATTGGCAGACGAAGACAGTGAAGGTTAGTAATGTCTCCCTGGGGGCATCGGAGCAGGACATCAAGGAGTTCTTTTCCTTTTCTGGGGACATTGAGTATGTTGAAATGAAGAGGTCGGCTTCTCTGCCCATGCTCTTTAGTGCATGTTTTTCCTCTTTGGACAATTCGGATGCCCCTTGACTAAATTTGTTGCTGCAGTGGAGATGAGTGGTCTCAGGTTGCCTTTGTGACCTTCAAAGACTCCCAGGGTGCAGAGACTGCTCTGCTTCTTTCGGTAAAGTTAACTGTTTAAACAGATACTATTACCATAATCATTATCTTCTTGATCTGTGTGTAATGCCCAATACTCTTCTGGGTAATAGGGTGCGACGATAGTTGACTTATCTGTCGTCATTGCCCCTGCGCCAGATTATCAGCTCCCACCATCTGCACTGGCCCCTCCTCCGGTAAAGGCTTCCCCATCATCTCTGATTCTCTGGTCTGCCGGCTCTGATTCTCAAATGTTCTGCATGTCAGGCGACAGATGCCAACCCCACTGGCGGTGCTGCCAATGAGTCGGCCATCCAGAAGGCAGAAGACGTGGTCAGTAGCATGCTTGCCAAGGGGTTCGTGCTTGGAAAGGACGTGCTCGGCAAGGCGAAGGCCTTCGACGAGAAGCACCAGCTGACTTCCACTGCCACTGCGAAGGTGGCCTCACTGGACAAGAAGATCGGCCTGAGTGAGAAGGTCTCTATCGGCACCACTGCCGTCAATGAGAAGGTGAAGGAGATGGACCAGAAGTTCCATGTTTCTGAGAAGACCAAGTCGGCCCTCGCTGTTGCCGAGCAGAAGGTCAGCACTGCCGGCTCGGCCATCCTCAAAAACCGCTACATCTTCCAGGGGGCGGCGTGGGTGACGGGGGCCTTCAACAGGGTAGCCAAGGCTGCTGGAGAAGTCGGCTCCAAGACAAAGGAGAAGGTGGAAGTTGACCGCGGCGTTGACCACAGCTTTGAGCGGGTCCATCTCTCTGAGGCTCCATCTGGGGAGAACTCCTCCAAGCCCCCACCTGCGCAGGGGCTTATCCTCTGAGCTTCACTTGGATCTCTGTAAATAACTGGCGGTGCCTTCTTGCCCAGTTGTTCCGTTTAGATTCACCTCTCCAAACCATCCCTCTTCATTTCATTTCATTTTCGGTTTCTCTGTTTATACATGGAATCAGGGACGTCAAAAGGGGGGAAGAGAAGGCTTCTGCCCTGCTCTTGTTGCAGAAGATTGAGCCAGTCTGCTTTCTGTTTGTGCTTTGAAAACGCACTTCCCCAGCACTTCCTTGCGTTCTCTCTCCCTCTTTCTCACTCTCTCTCCATCTCTCTACCTTTTCATCTTTCTCGAGGCTTTCTACTTGACTATTCATGTACACATTTTCCCGGTTGCTTCAATACACGTGGGTATTATTTCCTTGAATTTTCTGTATGGGCAAAACAAAATTCTTCTGGGCAGGCCTGATTTTAGTTCCAAAGGCACAAGTTCGGGTTGACATAGAAGTTACGTCAACCAGCAGGAGAGGGTTGAAGTCCAATCGACTTGAATGAAGACCAGCCTAAGGAGGACTTTAGACCTATGTGAAGCTGTTATCAGGGACCTACAGGAACTGCCCCTAGCAACAACACTGGCACATTTGGTAGAAGGGCACGGCATGAATGGCAAAGCAGAAGACACCTACACATAGCAGCACAGCGCCTCCGCATGACGGCATGTCTCCTGTCACGGCAGCATGGCACTCGTGTGCACCTGCACCTGCACCTGTACACGATGACACGCATGCACATACATCAGCACTACGTCTACACATGGTGGTGACGCACGCACAAGAAGGCACAGCAACGTTATGCACGATCCTGATGTGGCAACCCCAAGTCATGAGAGTAGATGATGATGTCATGAGCATGACATCATCTGGAGGAGGAACAGAAGACGTCACTACCCCAACATCAACTGGATTTGAAATATTTAATCCTATATCAAAATTATAAGGAATGTTGCTCGGGGGCCCATCTATAAAGAATGACCCCCGGCCCCATATATGAACAAACTTTGGTTATCAAGAATATCTATTTTGGTTACATTGGGGTTCGTATAAGATCAAATCACTCAATGTTCAATAAGAAGTTTGTATTGAGCAGTTAATTTTCTTGTCATAGTGGTATCAAAGTCAAGTTACGAAAAGATTAGATACTCTTACGTTTTGTCATTCTTCAATATTAGTGGAGTATCATAGAGGCAAAGGGTAGAGTGGGTACGAGTTGGTATTCAAGGGCAAAGAATTGCTTGACTTACAGAGCATCAAGAGATTGTGGCTAAAGCCATTGAGGCCCTTATAGGCCCATTGCAAGTTGAGTCCAGTAGTTATGAGAGCAAGTGGAGGGCCCAACAGCCCAAGTAGAGGAACAAGCCTGTGAGGCTATGAACGCAGTTGATGCATTGTCTAGGAGATTTGATGAAGAGATCCGGTCAATCTACGACCATACAAGAGAAATGGCTACATCTTATATAGTCTAGAAAGATGAAATTTCAACATTACGGGGAGAGTTTACCCAACATATGATAAGGTTGCAGCAACAAATGGAGGAGGTTGTGAATGACTTCCAAATTCAAATTGATAATCTCCAAAGGACACTAGATCAAGGTCTAGGGCTCAAGCCACTTGCTCATGTTAAGACCCTCAAGTCCTGATTTAGTAGCAATCCCTCACCAGAATGTTGATTGCCTAGACTGAGCAAATCACCACATAGCTAGAGCTTGTCTCAACCTAATCATATCATAGGAGCAGCCGCCACCATTGATTGAAGAGGTACCTAATCTAAACATCATTCAACTTCTGAATGTAGTGCAAGCTAAGGTCATATAAGCAATCTCAAGGAGACTACTCTTCATGGAGACAGCGATCAATGACATCCCAACTAGGGTATTGATGGATTTAAGGGTCATTCATAACTTCCTATATAAAAGGAAAGCTAGCTGCCTTGCATTAAGGCTGGTCTAAATCAACAACATGATCAAAGTTGTCAACTCAAAAGCCTAAGTATCTGTTGGGTTAGCTTGATAAGTGAAAACTCAAATGGACACATGGAAAGACAAGTTTGATTTTCTGGTCCTATGGAAGGAAAACTTTGACATCATCTTAAGTGTGGACTTCGCAATCAAGGCAAAGGTTAGATTTTTTTTCTGTTGTAATAAATTAATTATCTATAGATAAGATCAGTCTTATGTTACATAGGGATCTACACAAGAGGCAAAAAAACCCCAACTGATATTGGTCATACAATTCAAATTCAATCTTTGGTGGACACCAACACATTTCTCATTACCTTACAAGAAATATGAAAGGAAGAAAAGTTGGTGGGCCATCATCAAATACCGTCTAAGCAAGATATAGAACATATTATTGAGTTGTTATTAGGAGAATGTCTTTCAAGTAAGACCTCATACAAGATGCCTCCAACACACTTAAAAGAGTTGAGCAAATAGTTGTAAGAATTGTTAGGAGCTGAGCACATTCGTTGTTCACATGCACCATTTGGTGCACCAGTTCTTTTCTAGTGGAATAAAGATAGAATCTTTAGACTTTGTGTGGATTCTAAGACCTTGAACAAGATTACGGTGAAGAACAAGTACCCAATGCCTAATGTGGAGGACTTATTCAATCAACTTGGAGAGGCCCGAATCTTCTCAAAGTTGGACTTAAAGAGTGGCTACCATCAAGTCTGAATCATTAGGGGTGACAAATAGAAGACAATGTGTGTTACATACTATGGGTCATATAAATTTATAGTGATGTCTTTTGGGTCAACAAATACCCCTACCACATTTTGTACACTCATAGATCACATATTTTGATCATTTTTAGATAAATTTTTTGTTGTATACTTAGATGACATCTTGGTGTATAGTCATACTATGTAGGAATATTTGTCATACTTATGATAATACTTAAAACCTTGAAGCATAATAATATATATATGAATCTGACAAAGTGTGCATTTGCCATTATAGAAGTCAAATTCCTTAGTCACATAGTTGATAAAGAAAGAGTATAGATGGATCAAAAGAAGATGATGGCAATTGAAGAATAACTAGTGCCCAAAGGAGTGACCGAACTAAGGTCATTCTTGGGACTTGTAAATTATTATCACAAGTTCATACTGCACATTTCTCAAATAACTACACAAGTAACAAAGCTCCTCATGAAAGATCAAAAGTGGGTATTTGATAAGTCTTCATTATTATGAGTTAATAGTTAATAAATAATATATTTTAAATCTTAACTTATGATAAATAGATTTATATTTATGTTAATTTATAAAAAGTGTTTTTAATTAGTTAATGTGATTTTTTTATTTAATTATATAATTTTATATAATTTTTATAATCCTATTTTTGAGATAAATAGAGAAAAAGAAAAAAAAAAAGAAGGACCCATTGGCTAGCTAGGCTCGCTAGTAGGTTGAAAACATAGTCGAGGTGGAGCCATGAGCAAGGGCTCAAATAGCTATGGACTGATGGGGGCACGTGTGCATCACCTCCCTTTCATGTCACTAGTGGTCAACTAACTATGGGGCAAGGAATAGTCATACACACGCGAGGAAGAGACTCATTGATTCCAAATCTCACGTTACCATATATGCGTCTCAACTCCAAAGTATAATAGATGTGGGACTAAACCAATAGTCACATCTTTTTTGGAATATTTTCAAAGATTTTAATACCAAAAATACCTGTTATATAACAACGAGATATCATGATGATGTTACTCAATAAGGGTATTTGAGAACTTATTCCTTCTCTCTTATGTAGGTAGACAACCAACATAAGTTCAAATCTCACCAAAGCTAAAACTCATATTTTTATTTGATTAAATCATGACTTTCTTGTAGATCATCGATGAAGGATTAAGCCACTAGAGTCATTTTATCATCGACGAAAATCTCATCAATGTGATTTATGGAGTATTGTTACTAAAATTATTAAATGATTTGTAATAAAAAGATCATGAATCTATTAAGTAAATCATCTCTAATTGATCAACGAACAAGTCATCATTGAGAAGAAGATGATCTGTTAAAAGACGAGTCATCACCTCTTGAGAGTGTACTAGATGTGATGGAGAGCCTCCTCTTATTGCACATACTTAAGGATGAAGCACCCTAACATGCGCCCCACCTCCATCTAGCTTCTCTCTATCAAGTGACTATCGTCAAAGAGCTGCAAAGTTACTATTTTTCTACTTTGTTGAGTGACAACTGTTAGAGATGATTCAACAATTCAATTCATTGATCTCTTAACTTTATAAGAATATCTAGAGATTGCTCACATCATCCTTGTCCAATCTTCTTGAACACTCAAGATTTTAGTACATTATTGACGTATTCTTGCTATGACTTCGGAACTTTATTTTCTTATTTTTAACTTAGTTTTTATTTTATTGAGTGATAATTTATGTGATTTAAATTTATCAAATTATTCTTCATTTAATTACAATTCTTTTAACTTTTACAGATCTTAATTTGATCAATTAAATCATTTGTAGTAATTTATATAAGAATCACCAGACATAATTTTATTTTAGCCCAATTCATGTTCATTGGTTGCTGATGTCATCATGATGTTTACACTCTTATTTTTCTTTTTTTGTGAATTATAAATATATTTTATTTTTATTTCTTAATCTAAAATTCATAAAAAATTGTATTCTTTGAGGAAAATTCTGAAAAATAACCTGATATTATATTATATCCCTTTGATCAACTTATAAAATTTTCACTATTTTTGAAAATTTTATTGAAATATTTTGATATATTTGTTTAGAAATACTTCTAAATATCTAAAAATTATTATTTTCTAGTTTTATAAATTTTAAATTTACGTGATTTACTATAGAATGAGTAAGTCATGTTTATAATAAATCACATAAATATCTATGTGCAATGGTCACAAAGAAATCAGTGCTTCAACTCTCAAACTTAAACAAGTCTTTTAAGATATATATAGATATATCAAATTGAACCATTGAAGGGGTCTTGAAGAAAGAAGAACATTCGATTATATTTGAAGGCTAAAAATTGAGCAATACAGAATAACGCTATTTGGTACATAAGAAGGAGATAAATTAGTAGTATAGACAATAGTGGTACACTATTTATGACTATGATGACAATACCTTTTAGGTAATTTTTTTATTGTCTATATTGACAATGTTGCCACTAGTTGTTTTAACTCCCAAAAAAAAAAATTAGCTAAGTATAACTTCTCACTCAAATACAAATCGAGGCATACCAATGTGGGTAGTCCTTGAGCTAACAAGTACCACAAATGGAATGGTTGCCCTCTCAACCAATACCAACAACTTACTAGATGACATACATGCAACATATGACACAGATCTAATAGCCAAACATCTCATCCAACAAATAGAGATGGGAGAAACTTGATGATTCCGAATGGAGGATGGTATTATTTATCTAGAAGGTTATCGACCCTATGTATTGTAGAGAGGGCAACTACAATGACGATTCTTGTGGGAGACACATGATACACTTCATGTAAAACATCCTAGAGAGTAATAGACACAAACTTTGTTAGTTGATAGTTGCTTTTAGCCTAACATAGAACAAGATGTGGAAACATATGTCCACTCATGTCTGATTTGTCACTAAGACAAGGTGAAATGACGAAACACTACAAAAACATTAGAGCCCTTACCCATACCAGAGGGATTGTGGGAGTCTTTGTCCATATATTTCATCACATGCCTCTCATAAGTGGGTGAGCATGATGTCATTTTGGTGGTGGTTGACAAGTTTTCCAAATATGTGATGTTTACACCTACATGGTTTGAGTGCAAGGCAAAAGAAGTGGCCAAATAGTTCTTGACACACATCGTCAAGTTGTGGGGTATACCATGAGATATTGTCTCTAATCATGATCCATGCTTCATGGGATGATTTTAGTTAGCTCTCTTCATCTCTCTTAGCATAGAACTTAACTTCTCCATTGCTTTCCATCTATAGATAAATGGTCAGACCAAGAGAAGAAATAAAATGTTAGAAGATTATCTAAGTCATTATGTCACTACATGACAAGACAATTGAGTTGACCTATTTGATGTCACCCAATTCGTCCACAATATTTAATAGTGCATACCATAGGACACTCACCTTTTGAGTTAGCCATCAGCCAGCAACCTCTAACACTCCTAGAACTTGTCAAACAACAAGGTCTAAGGTATTTGTCAACTGCCTACCACTTTGTCAAAAACCACAATGACCTCATTGAAGAGGTTTGAGAAGCATTAACAAAGGTAACTTAGAGGATGAAGAAAAATCACAATCATTATCAATGAGATGTTGTGATGTGAGACCAAAGAGAAATATCAATACTAAAAAAAAAGTTAGGATTTAAGATTGTCCTTGGCTAACTTTAGGAGGAATATGATTACGCTAATCTTGCTGATTTAAAAAAAATTAAGATCATAGTTACTTGAGAAGAACCACACTTTTAAAAATTCAGATAAAGTTTTAACTAAGGGTGTTTAAGATCACTGATAAAAGGCACAAAGAGGGCTATCATATGATTCACTTAGTTCTTATAAGGAGTAAGGATATAAAATAATAATCACTCTACAAAGAGACTCGAAATCAACGTATCTTGTCAAAGAAGATTCTTAATTGATTTTTTTGATTCTAGTGACTTGAGATCCACGAGCCTTGTTGAGAATTTTCTAATAGGTGATGATTTAGAAAAATGGATGATTTTAGCTAAGTAACTAAGGTCCACAAAGTATTTAGATAATTAAAAATATAAAAAATAAAAACGGTGTAAATGAGGAATAGTATGAATAATAGAATGAAATAATGATAAGAAGAAAGAAAAGGTGTGGAAAGTAAAAAGGAGCAGAATGAGAGGGCATTGGCAGGAGAGAGAGAGAGAGAGAGAGAGAGAGAGAATGAGGGGATACGTGGCGATGATGGGAGAAACAAAAAAGGGGGTTTCGGTGGGAGAGAGAGAGAGGGGCATTCTCGTGATGAGGGAAATGTGGGCGAATAATTAAATAATACATAAAAGGGCGGAGGGAGAAAAAGGTGGCGGAATGAGGGTGGCAGTAGGAGAGAGGGAAAAGAGGGGTTTTGTGGCGACAATAGGAGAGGGAAAAGGAGAGGGTTTGCGACGCCGAGGAGATGAAGTGGCGGGGATGCGATAGACGGCAAGGAGCCGGAGTGGCGGAGACAAGGTAGACGGCGAGGAGGCGGGACAACGGTGAGGGGGCGGATGGCGAGGAGGCGAGATGACAATGATGGGATGGCTGGTGAGAAGGGGAGTGGCGGCGACGGGCGGACGGCAAGGAGGGGAAATGGCGACGACGGGGCAGATGAGGAGGAAGATGAACGGCGGTGTCGGGGTGGATGACGAGGAGGCGGAACGGCGGCAACGGGGTAGATGGCGAGAAGGGAGAATGGCAGCGATGGGGTAAAAGCCGAGGGTGACGTGAAGAGGAAGAGATGGAGGTCCCCCTAATCCAAGAGGGAGAGAAGAAGAGAGGAAGGCCCTAGTCCAAGAGACGATAAAAGGAAGGGAGGAACCTTCAGTCCAAGAGGCAACCTTCTAATCCAAGAAGGTAAGATAAACTTCTTGATTAATTATGTATCATTATCTCAAATACAACACAAGTCTTAGCATTTATAGAGGGAAAAAGAAGAGTGGTGGCTTTTCATAGAATAGAGAGAACAAAAAAGACGGGGTGAAGTAGACACCCTTTCCCAAGAGATGCCATGTGGCGCCTCTTGGTTGAAACGACGCCCGATTTAAGGAGAGGAGGGACGTGAGGATGGCATGACATCTTCTCCCCATTCTTCTTCTTCTTCTTGTTGGACCATCCTTTGTGGATGGATCCTCTTGCTTGCTGGTAGAGACCCATTGATCTTGAATCCAATATTCCATGTTAGATCCAATAAAGGAGGAAGCTGTTGGTTGACTTGGAGGTGAACTCTTCGAGGTGAAATAACCCTAATCCTTACACTTCTTCTTAGAAGGGTTGATCTCAAAGGTTGAACCTCTGATTGACCATCTTCCACTAACTTGAGTTGACTTTCTTAAGTGAAAGATTCTTCATTGGATTCGGTGATCTCATCATGTTGAGTTTGTAATAGGTAATTGAGTATTACTTTATATCTATCTTACCCTCAAGAGCCTCCAACGATAGAAATGTCACAATAAATTAATACTTTGGTTTGATGGACCTTTCTAAATTGTGGCTCGAGTAGGAGGTTAGCCTATTGGCTCCAAGTCCCTTCACACCTTTTAGTGCACTCAGTTTTCCACATCTCCATATTTAAAGTTCATCATGTAGATGAAGAAGAACTATAGTGGAACCAACCACACCAACCTCCGCCAATGATATAGATGTGTTACTCCACCTCAACATTAGTTATATTTTATCACCAAGTGATTGAAAGGGTGGATGCAATCACATCCACTATAAAACTTTTTATCTCATTAATTGCGTAGGACAACCAAATTAGATAGTTACATGGAAGAACTATGTGGATATTTCATAATTTGAAGACTTAATCGGAGCCTATAATCACCACCAACATCCAATGAGGACGTTAGATGTTATAAGAGAAGGATAATATTACTAGGGACCTTCTATAAAAACCACCTCTAGCAAAAACATTGTGATGCACTTGACAAGAGGGCATGACATGAATGGTAGAGCAAAAGACATCACATCAGTGTGCACCAATATGACACCTGTGCACGGTGGCATGGCAGCACAGTGACTGTGCATGACAACGTGGCACCTGCATGCAGTGGCACACTACACGTGTGCATTGACATAGTGCCCATATGTGGTGGCACAAAATGTGCATGCATTAGTGTGACACCCCTATGTACAGCGGCACAATGTGCACACAAGAAGGCATGGTAATATTGTGCACAATCATAATGTGACAACTTAAGGCCACGAGAGTAGATTATGATGTTGCAAGCATGACATCATCTAGAGGTGGAATGAAGGATGCCACTACCTTTATGTCACCAAGAGCAGCAACAATTAATCTCATATCAAAATTGTAAAGAATGTTACTTGGGGGCCCATCTATAAAGGACACCTAGCCCCATGTATCAATGACCTTTGGTTATCAAGAATATCCATTTTGGTCACACATGAGTCCATTAGGGATCGAATTGCCCAACACCCAACAAGGATTTCATGTAGAGCTACTAACTTCCTTATCATAAAAGGTCAAAGGCCCACAACAAAATTGGACTGCATGGACACTAGTGAGGTCTCACTTGTGAGCTTCCTAACTTGAAGTCCATCAAACTTGTTGGGCTAAGCCTTACCTGCACATGTAACTGTTGGGGGACAAAAGTCTACTTAGTTGAAGATAAATAGTTTCACTTATGCTTAATTGACTCATGTTGGTTAACTCACTAAACCTTTTATTAAATGATCTTTCAAGATTTACATGGTTTCATTATCTTGCTCATAAGGAAGAAACTCTTGAATATTTCCCAAATTCCATAACTTGATTTCAGTCAAAGAGGAATACAAGTGAAATCTCACAACAGTAAATTAAAATCAAACAAGGAACAACTATAAAAAAAACAATCACTACACAAACTTGCCCATATCTTTCACCCAATAATAGAGTATTGTTGTAGACAATAATCAAACTCAAAAGTGATTGGAAAAATGATAAAAATATGGATTAAAAGGATTAATTAATCTTGTCTCCATCTATCACATAGATGATGTATTAAGACAAAATAATAATAAAATCAAATGGCAACCAAAATTAAATTTACATACACCCCTTGTCACTTTGCCCTAGTGTCACCTAAAAATAGAGTACTGAAAAATGAATGGAAAATTGGTTGAAAATATAGTAAAAAATGTATTTAAAAGCTTAATCTTGTCTTCTTCCTATCACTTAAATGATGGAACAATTATAAATCAAATTTGTGAATACCCATTGTTGCTTGTCTCTTCTTTATTTGCCGCTAAGAGATAACTCAGTTGAAAAACTTTCAAAGTTCCTCGCATAACCTACTATTCTCTATTTAAACACCTTCCTCTAGTTTCCCTAAATCTTACTTCTGATCTTCGTGCAAAAATATATTAACAATTTTCATGAAATTTAGAATTCTCTTTAATTGTTTCACTTCCCAAAACAAAGTATAAAAGATGACACACATGTATGCTGTGGCATAAAATGTTGACCTCTTCATTCATTGACTTATGCAGACATGGCCCATAATCTCTTGACATGTCCTCTTGCTGATCTGGCCATGAAATGATGTATTTTTTAATAATTATTTTGATAATTTCTAAATTCCTACAAAAATACTTTAAAATATTTTCATAAATTCTCTACAAAAAATAAGAAAAATCTATTTTCGGAATTTTAACTTCATGATTTTTTTCTGTTAGTTTTGAAATAATTTTGAAGATTATAAACCTTGAATAATCATAAATATTCATATCATATAAATTATGAAAGTTATTGAATTAAACATAAATTCATCACATAATTCATAAACTATTACTAATGTGTTTTAATGTTAATAATAATTATTTTAATAATGATTAATAAGAAATTTATTTTGATTTTACCTTTGACTTATTATCTATAAAAAAAACAGTATTAGAATACAACCTTGATTTGTTTGATCTAAAATTTTTCTAACAAGTGGAATTATAATCCTACCTTTGGACTATGATCATATAATTGACTTATAAGGTTCTATTCTAGTTCATCCACAAGTAGTATATATTTAATAAAAAAATATCATTTAGTTTGATGTATTTTGTTTCAATGGTTTCTTTCATCTTAAACCAAATGTTACTTCTCCTCCTCAATTGTGTCTTGAACATCTAATATCCAATACCATTTGAGTCTATACAAAAGAATCTCCTAAAATAGAATGTCTTTAATTTGGGATCCAAATCACTAATGTTACTTATAACTAGAGTTAATAGTTAGGTCAGTCTTCTTTTTCTAATTTGTTTCCTCTTTTTCAGTCTTTGGAAAATGTTAAAAAACAAGGTGTCTAGGTTTTCCAAAGGGATGACATAGATTGACTCTATTAACAACAATCATTAATTTAGGAGATTCCTCATTGGAAAAATATAATTATAACCTAATCCTTTCTTTTTCAATTTCTTTTATGGACAATCAATAAGTAGATTCAATTTATTTTAAATATCAAAAAAACCTTCCAAATCTATTTTCCTACCATCCCTTTTCTTTCTTGCAGTTCAATTGATTCTCTCCCCCTTCAATCGTTCAACTAGTTCATGCTCTATTGACAACTTATTTTGAGACTTGTATTGTTCTCACCCTTTTCAATAATAGAAAAATGTGAGAAAGTGAAACTCCATTGATGAAAATACTTTAGAAGCCATGTGGGGTGCTCAAGCTTAGAATTATATGTCAAATAGATGACAATCAACATAATTTGAAAGAATTTAAGCTGATTTGTAAGAGGATCATAGTATCTAATTATCAGTCTAATTTCAAAGGATGAGTTCAGGTAATTTTCTCCTTTCAAAGATCAATATGATAGTATTAAAGAAGTCTAGTCATGGCTATATTATAATTAAGGATCTTTTAGGAGATAGTAGATGTGTAACATTGTTACATAGTTAAATCAGATATGTTGATTAGTTGAGGTTTTAAGACATTATAAGTGAAAAAGATATATGTTGAGTCTTCATTATCATAAGTTAATAATTAATAAATAATATAATTTTAGCCTTAACTTATGATAAGTAGATTTATATTTATGATAAATCATGAAAAGTAATTTTTACTTTATTAATATGTATTTTTAGTTTATTATGTGATTTTATAAAAAATTATATAATTTTTATAATCTTATTTTTTAGATAAATAAAGAAAAATAAAATAAAAAAAAAATAGAAAAAGGGAGTGACCCACCAACTAGGTAGGCCTACAAGCGGGTCAGAAGCATAGTTGAGTAGAGCTATGAGTAAGGGCTTGAGCGACTAAAGGTGACCAATTAAGGGCACATGTGCATCATTCTCTTTTCACGTCATTGGTGGCCAACCAGGTGTGGGACAAGGAGTGATCGTACATATGTGAGAAAGGGACTCATTGATTCTCAAATCTCATATTACTATATATTCATCTAAAAATTTGATGTATAACCTATGTAATACTAAAAACTCTGATCACACCTTCTCTAGAATATTTTCAATGATTTTAATACTAAAAATACCCCTTATTTATAACAAGTTATCATGATGACGTCATTGTATAATGATATTTGAGAATTTATTTTTCTCTCTCTCTCATGTAGGCAAGTGACTAGTGTGGATTAAATTATGATATTCTTATAGAATTACTTAATTATTGATAAAAATCTCATTAATATGATTCTCAAAGTATAATTACTAAAATTATTGAACAATTCGTCATAAAAAGATCACAAACCCACTAAATAAATCATCTTTAATTGATCAATTAATAAGCTGTCATTGAAAAAAAATAAATTTATCAAGAGATGAGTAGTCACCTTTTGAGAACTTACCAGATGCGATGAAAATCCTCCTCTTGTTATGCATACTTGAGGATGAAACTCTGTGACATATACCTCACCTTCATCTAACTTATCTCTATCGGGTGACAACTGCTAGAGAGTTGTAAAGTTGTCATTTTTTTGTTCTGTCAAGTCATAGTCATTAGAGACGATTCGACGACTCATTTCATTGATTTCTAGACTTTGTAAAAGATATAGGGATTAATAATATTGTCTTTGTCTAAAGAGAGCCTTTGAGATTATGGACACTACATGAAAACCCTTCTAAATACTTAGGATTCTAACACATCATCGACACATCACCGTCATGACACAAACTTCTATTTTTTCTACTTTTAACTTAATTTTTACTTTATTTAGTGATAATTTGTGTGATGTAAACTTTTTAAACTATTCTTTGTTCAATTATGACTATTTTAACTTTTACAAATCTTAATTTGACTAATTAAATTATCTGTAATCACTTATGTAAGAATTGTCAGACAAAACTCTATTTTCACTTAGTTTGCATTCAAGGCATGCTAACATCATCATGACGTCTGCACTCTTATTTTTATTTTTCATAAATTTTAAATACATTTTATTTTTATCTATCTAAAATTCATAAAAAATATATTATTTAAAAACAATTCTAAAAATTATTTAATATTATATTACATTCCTATGATTGACCTAACAATGTTTCACAATTTGTGAACTTTTATTACATTATAATAGATATATTTATTCAAAAATACTTCTAAATATCTAAAAATTGATAATTTTTAGTTTTATAAATTTTAAATTTTCATGATTTTATTATACAATGACTAAGTCACGTCAATATGTAATGAAGATATTCTGCCTTTAGCAATTGTGAAAATTATCATGAATTTAGATTATTATGAATTTAGATATTAATATTTTACTTTAATAATTAATTGATCAACACACTATTTAAAGAGGTGTAAGAATTTTATGAATATTATTGAATATGAATTTAAAAATAAATTTTAAATTATAGTGACCTCTAATCATTAATTTATAACTTTTTTTATTTGATTTATATCATATTTTATTCAATGTGATTTAAATTAAATTTGACTTGATAATAATTTATTTATTAAGAGATGTACTTTTTGTTCATCTCAATTTAGTAAAAACTATTTAATGATCAAGCTCAACTCCCTAAAAATTTCAAATCAAATTCTCCTTTTTATTCACAATTCTAAGCTAGCCAAAGTTGATTATAGGGTTCAACTCCTTCATATGATTAAGTCAAAACTTGCTCACAAGTTTTGCCACTTGAAATTAAAGATAGATTGTTGATGATGTTCTAGAATTTGATAAAGAAATGAATGATATCAAAAATCAAATTAGTCAATTGCATTTCATTTGATTTTCTTCCCCATCTTCATGTTTGGAAGCTATCTGATTACAAAAGATGCTACCACAAAAATCATTGTATAAAGAATTATTTTTTGATTGAAGAATCACTCCCCAACTCATTATTTTCTCATCACTGAATTCACATATAACTCTATAAAAAAATGTTAAAACAAAATTTGAGATCATAGTGATGTTATGGATGATTGATAAGAAATATTTAGTTGTTGGAGAAGAGTTGAATTTATAAACACATTGAGTCATACCCTTCCCCAATTTTCTATCATTCTAACATTTTTTCTTATAAATAGATAGAAATTCAAATGGTAGTAAACTAATATAATGTTTAACATTCTAGACATCCTTCAAGGTTAATCAATAAAATGTATTAGAAGTTATTGGTTCCATAAGAATATGTTAGTGTTAAAACAGATTTGATGATATATCTTGAAATAAAGTTATGACTAAGGCAATATGATACTTCAAATTTAATTTTTAAGTAATATTCACGGATATCATAAAAATATTGAGAAAGTTGTCGATATACTTTGAATTTGATCAATGAATTCACCATAAAAATGTAATACTTTCACAATATAGACATCTAGTTTACTATTTCATTTCAATTTTTAACCTCAAACATTTTAGCAAAATTAGGTGTCCAAATCGTTTATTTTTGATATTGATATTTATCATAATTTTTAGGAAAGTAATGATTTCAAGTGGAAAATTCATTGTGAATTCAGAATTCAAAACATGAACATCAAAATTTACTATCATTTTGACACTTGACACATTAAATAGGAATTCTCCATGAATTTACAGTTATTTCATTTCAAGCATATGTTTAAAATATCATTCATGCATAATATTATACATAATTTGATATGAATTTCTCACCTTTGTGGATTTGTACCAAAAACAACAATTTCTACATTATGATGAACCTTTAAATTGTCTATGATGAATTACACTCCTTATTTAGAACACGATTGTGTATTAATACATAAGTAGTAACAACTACATTATTCACAAGGATTTGATATATCAATAATCATTCAGATCTAAGATGTATTTCCTTATTGAAGACCAAAATTAAGTGTAAAGGTTTCTTAGATAAAACTGTAAAGAACTTCAGAGTCGACATGAAAGGAGGAAAAATAACATATATACTTGTATAATGATGGAAAAAATAGTATCCATGTTAGATATAAAGGATCTAGTGTTGAGATTGATGAGGATTGATAAAACATAATGATAATGGATTAAAATCATACCTGAATTCATAAAGGCACAAGTACGAGGATAGCCTTTAAGATTAGAACAGAAGAGTTATCTAATGACTTACTCTAGAGAGAGGGGATATTCTAAGAGTGACTCAGAATGTGTGACCTAAGGACTATGACCCCTTATTTATAGGCAAGAGGTGGTTAGCCTCTTGGTGTCTTTTTTTAATTAACCTATCATAAAATTAGAATAAAACCTGATCTACACATTTATATTTTTGCTCATAATTATGAGAAAGTCTGCAATCTTAAACACTTAAATTCTAATAAATCACTAATTCAATGATAGTCATATAATATACAATTCATGTATATCATTATCTACATTGAGATTAATTCTACTGAGGGCAGAAAAGACACTTGCAATGATCTTGGCCATAGATCCCTAACCAAGAACTCTACTATGTGATAGGCTATCAATGAAATATATTACTGAGGAAAATCGATAGCGATTCCTCTGGTCATCACTTCTTCCTTGCCAACCAAGTGCTGGTGATCACTAAAGCCTCCTCCTCGTCCTCAGCATTCTTGCCTGCCGCCAACTCGCAGCAGCAACCATCTTGTGGCAGATCTGTCACTCCAAGAAAAAGGTTCAAGTGCGAAGAAGACAGTGACGGCGATCATTCATCACCTTGCGCCAAGCAGATGAAAATATAGTCAGATGAAATCTCGGCAAGTCAGATCTCAGGCGAGTACAACGCCTCGAATGATCCCGAGCCCTCTGATTCCGAGCCTCAGGATCCATCATCTATTCTCCGAGAGAACCATTTTTCCGCGACTTGTGCTCTACGAGATGAACCACCGCCATCTCTGAAGGCACTGGAGTTGCTGCTGCCAGCGAGCCGGCCGGAGCAAGGACCAACCAGAGTAATGGGCAAAGCAGACGGCGCAAGAGATTCGGCTCAGTCTTGGGGACCGAACCCCAGCGGAGCCATGGAGCAAGGGGATTGCTGAGATAATTTAGATGAGTTGGTACATCTCTCTCCGCCTGGTACTGATGAATCGCATGCGATTTCGCTCCAGAATCGCCCTCAGCCTGGGTTCAAATAAGAAGAAGGGGTATTCGCCCTCTCTCCTGACCTTCGTAATCTAAATTCGCCAGAGCTTTCTGAAACGCTATCGTCAGTCCAAGTCCCTGGTGATCTCCAGATCAGCTCATCATCCACCGCCTTCAGAGTTCAGGAGCCATCACGCATCGTAGTTCTCCCGCAGTTCCACGAGGTTTCTGGGCCATCCCACAGGGTAATGGGGATAGGAGCTCTCAACCCGGGATCGGTGGAGAGCTACTCACACTCTGTTCAGTCTTTAAGGCCGGCTGTCGCACTGGCCATTGAAGAAGGAGAAAATCTGAACAGTCTTGACGAACTGGTGGCTCTCGCACGCCGAGTAGCAGCTCATCTTCCGATCCTCATGTCGATCAACCGCTTGAATCCCCAACGAGTCTCCTATCCGATCCGATCCGACGACAAATGATACCAAGACGCTTGCATGCATGCGGTGCGGACGAGAACAATAGAAATTGGTGCTGCTCAGAGCGAAAGAGAGAGAGACATATAGACAGAAAGACGGAGGGACGATGGAAACGAATGCGTCCTGCATCGTCCTCGAAAAATCGCACCTTTGTTCATTCTTCAGACCGTCTGGATGATCAATTACGACTAACATTCAAGGGAATGACGAAAGTGTAAATTATTCAGAGGGGGCGCCTTTAAATTCTCCTTCCAATGGCCCGGTTAAGTCTATAGGTCGGATGCCCCGGTGGGGGGACCTGAAAGAAATCAGATTCTCGTTTCGGTCTTCCGTCGTTTTCCGGGTTTCGGTGGGGCCCGGTTTCCAAGGCGTTGACCTTTAATAACTTTTAGGGATCTAGAGCCTTCTTCCACCACCCACTGTTAGAGAGAGAAATTGGACGTACAGAGAGAAAGAGAGAGAAAGGGGGGGAGGGGCGCAAGTGACAGATTGGCTGATAAAAGTGGGCCAGGACTGTCTAAAATATGCGCCCTTTTGACTATATTTGGACAGTTGGCGCCCTTTCCTTAACCATATATTTGCCGAAAACTCCTTATAATGCGTTGTTTTTAGTTATAAACCCCCAATTTTACTAAAATTGTCAGCCTCTAGAAAACTGCCACATTTCATTGCCCCACTCACTTGCACGCAGATCTTTCAATTAACGTCCAAGAACCCCTTCTTCATGCAGAAACGATCATATCGGCCCAGACCTCTTTCTTCTCTCCAAGGGTTGACCTGCACTCAAATTATGGCCGAGAAGATGGAAGTCCACGAATCGGGGAGAGAGTCAGCTTATTGCACACAGGATTGGAGCCTCATCAGCAAGAGGTACTTACTGCTGCTCCTCACACAACTCAGGCACTCTCACAGCTAAACAACAGCACACAAGCACCCTGCACGCCCCTTGGCGGGGCTGCGGCCGATTATTAGGGAGGGGAGAGGACTCACTCTGTACTGGGCCTCAGAGAGGAGAGAGGTGGCGGGCGGCTGCCGGTCGGCTCGTCGGAGTCAGCACCACCAGGGCCCGGCCGTCACTGATTGCCAGAGGTTTCTCAGCTGCTGAACTTCTGGTCGGCAGTGCTCGGGGCTGCCTGCGGATTTCAGAAAAAAACAAAAATTAGGTCAGGTTTACAATACTGGCAAAAGATATCAGAATTATCTTTTAATTTGTTGACTTTTGATCACTGGCGGTGAGAATTTCAGGCAGAAATAAGAAACATCTGTGCTGATGAAGTCAATGCTTGAACCACATCCTGGTTATATGTTGATGATGTTCATCGATCTACTGACCCCGATCGACGTGACGTAGTTGCAGACGGCGCACTTGACGGAGCGTGCCCCATACTGGTACATGAGCAGCATACGGCAGTTCCCGCAGTTCACGTGGGCGACCTGATTGGCTGCTCGAGGCATCAGGAGGAAACAATCAGAGAGATTCTCACACGGTTCGAACTGTGGAATCCACGGAGGACAAAGGGTCAGATGGGTATCCAGTCAAGGGAGCTGAGAAAAAAACATAACGAAGAAAATGGCTGAGATGGCACAATATTTCTCCGAATTCAGAGGAAAAACAGAGCTGTATGATGTTCTTGATGCAGTAAGCTAACATGGCATTTCACATCTAAGCTAACTGGTTTGCAGGTGATTGCTCAATTTTTCTGAAGACAGTTTTGGTTCAGCAACGCAGGTAACCAGCAAGAGATTTCTAGCATAAATGAATGCAGGAATTGCGGAGGCGATCTTGGACTGAAAGGAGGGAAGGTCAATTTCTAAAGCCAGCTTAATGGTGTGGCAACAAGAACACTTTTTCCCTTTTGGTGCGAGAAGAAACCAGCAAGAGATTTCTCGTATAAATGCACGAATTTAGCTAATTTTGGAAGCAATCATGGATTGGGAGGAGGGATTGTATGTAGTGAATGGTCACCTTCTAAAGCCAGGTTAATGGTGTGGCAACAAGAACACTGTACACTTGTCGCCCCGCGAATGTACATGAGGAGCGTGTGGCAGCCTCCGCAGAGAAGCTGGGCCATCTCTGTGCCTGCAAAGAGTGGCAGTCATCAGTGAAGTGGGCCTTCAGAATTCAACCTCATTCCAATGGAGGACAGCGGCGGGGGCAGTGGCGGGTGGCGGTGGCTGAGGGAGAGAAGCACCTGGTGGCGGGACGGTTGTGACGGCGTTGCAGACCGCGCAGCACACCGAGGTCGCCCCGAGCGGGTACATGAGGAGATTTCGACAGCCGGAGCAGACCAGCTGGCTCTGAGCACCTGATGAGCGAGCAGGAAGCTTTTAAATCCTTCGTCAATGTCAGCACCCGCGAAATCGGGGAGACGCTGGGGAGATGGGGCTGGTGATTGATTATCAGACATGTTTCTTCTCAGGCCGAGGGAAGTTTCGGAGATCTTCGACAGTGAGAAGAGTGAGTGATGCTGCCTGAGTTTCTTCCAGATTAGCAACAGTGGATGATGGCGATCAAGAAGAACATCTGAAAATGGCGATTGGAACATCTCTCTCTCTCTCTCTCTCGCTATCTCTATCTCTCTATCTCTTTATCTATCTTGCTAGGTCGTGAGTATTGAATCTGAGGTGGAGATGGATTCAAAATTTGGGGGAGCTAACCATTTGGTGGGGTGAAGGGCACCGGCGCCGGGGGCGTCGGATACGGGGCGAGGGGGACTGGCATTGCCGGAGGGAGCTCTCAGGCCTTCTTCCCTACTCTCCACGAAGCTGGTTCCTCAGGGGGAGGGGAAAGTATCACAGCTTCTCACCCTCCATCTCCATTCCTGCGAAGAACCAGAACAGCGCATCAGAGCACAGCAGCATCGAAGGTGGAAGAGGGACGGAGGAATGGGGAAGAATCCCCCGGAAATATCCATTTCTAGACTCCAAATCCCCTAAGAGACAGAAGAACATACACGCTAAGGAATCGCAGTACGATGATATTCTGAATCAAGGTAGTCGATATTTTCTTTCCAAATCGGCCGCTGACGCCTCCGATTGTTCAGTACAGGACTCAGGAGAGAGAATCGGACAGATTCGGAGAGAGAAGATAGAGAGAGATGGAGAGGAAGAGAGAGGATACCTCGGAGAGAGACTCTTCGCCGGACACACCTTCGACGCAAATGCAGAACGACCGCAGTTCCTCGATTCAGCTCCCGACCTTCCAAGGTTCAACCAGTGGCGGGGGCGAGGGGAGACAGGAGAGAGGACGAGAAGCTGTTAAAATCCTTAATGATGTTCCTGATTTATACGACCTTCCGCTCCTCCATCGGCGAGTAGCTCAAAAACTGGGTCAGTAGGTGAATGGATAATGTTTGGATTTCCGGAGAGAGAAAACCAGAGAGAGAAAGGGAGATTGAGAGAGACACTGGTGAAAAACTCAGCGTCCGGATAATGCTCCTAAATCACCCCAAATCAACGCGAAATCCCCCGCCTTTGCCCTCCCCTCCCTCCCCTTCGTCTCCTCCTCATCTTGACTAGAATACAGTAGAGAGAGAAAGAGAGAGGAAGAGAGAAAAAGAAAGAGAGGATCGAAGATGTGGACTGGATGGTTTATTCGGTATCGTGATTAGAGGAGAGTGACCGCAGAATGGAATACAGTAGAGAGAGAAAGAGAGCGGAGACGGTAGAGCACCCCGTAGAGAGAGAGAAGATGTGGACTGGACGGTTTATTCGCCCACCATCAGTTATGGCGATTCGAGGAGAGTGAGGCAGAAATCGATTGCAGTAGAGAGAGAGCGGGAGAGAGATTGGAGACAGTAGAGTACGGTTTAGAGAGAGAGACAGGCTCGGCAATGCCGCTCCGTTGGCGCTGCGTGACGCAACGAACCGCATGCACGTGATATGCCGAGGACTTGAACGGACGGCAGAGCGGGCGCCACGTAGAATGGAGAAATCGAAATCAACGAAGCCCTCCCAAACATCGATGGTCGCGCCAACATGGTCGCTTACCGTTCCGCCACGTCCCCCGCCCCTCGAGGAACACTATGTTGTAATCCGACGTCATCTTCTCTCTCTTCCCTCGTCTCTAGTGACGATGATCCGAAGCTCGGATGGACGGCCGTCGATTCCGATCAACGGACCAGATCGACCGATCCGTACCGTACTCGACCGGCCTAAGCTGCTGATCCGAGCCACCAAGGTCGAGGGGGGTAATTAATATCTTACCAGGGGTTTTCTTCAAAATAAGTATTAAACAAAACTGAAAACTGTAAAGTTAATTTCAATACTTATAAAATATTTTTAGATAGGTCCGATTTTGAAATATTAAGAAGTATAAATATCACTGACATGGCATTCCACGTGGAAAAAACTAAAATGATATTTATTGCCGAAAATTTCGAGTAGTTATATTATATAATATATAGATATATACATATTATAACAATGATTCTCGGACAGGGGTGGAACTTTGGTGCTATCGGGTTTCCCGCAGTTCTTCCAGGCCGTCGCCTCCCCGGCTCTCCTCCGCCTTCGCCTTGGATCGGCGGAGATCAGATGGGCCACGACGGCGGGAGGGACAGGGGACTCCGCCATGGCCGGAAGACGCGCACCGCCGTCAAGCAGCAGTTCCGCCAGCAGACAGCGACCGAGGCCCAGCCGGTGGGCGGAGGCGGCCATCCTGTCCCTTCCCCCGGCGCAGTCGCCGGCCGGGGGGGGTTTCTTGACGACGAGGATTCACCGTCAGGAGCTTCTTGCGGCGAGTCCGGGTGGGGCTACTGCACGGAGGAGCAGCTGGAGGAGCTCCTGCTGCGGAACCTGGACCAGGTCTACCGGGAGGCGCTGGCCAAGCTGGCCGCCCTCGGCTACGACGAGGATCTTGCCCTTTCTGCGGTGCTGCGCAACGGCCACTGCTACGGCAGCATGGACGCCCAATCTAACATCATCCAAAACTCCCTCGCCCAAATCGACAGCTTGTCCGGCCCCGATCCGTCGTCGGACGGCGGTGGCGGCTCTTCGGCGGCGTTCTCAGACCTGCGCCATCTTGTGGAGTATTCCCTCGCCGGCATGGTCTGCTTGCTCCGGCAGGTCCGGCCTCATCTGACGCGCGGCGATGCCATGTGGTGCCTTCTGATGAGCGATCTCCACATTGGGCGCGCTAGTACCATCGATGTCCCCGTAACCCCTGCCATCGGCGCTGGCGGCGATGATTTTGCAGAGGACGGCAATAGCGACATCGAGCTGGAGTGTGCGAGGCGTTTCGACCTTCCACCGGCGATGGAGTCGCTACTGAGGCGGAACGTTGCGGCGTTCGGCATCGGATTTCGTGCCAGATCAAAGACACCCCCAATGTCCACGCCCGCGGGTTCCCAACTCGGTCCATTTTCTTTGAACCAGAGTTTTGAGGACGGTGCGGGTCTAGGGGCTGGGACCAGGGATTCGACGGATTCTGATGTCGTATCGCCGGTGCTTAGTGGTCTAGAGAAATTGAACATCGAGGAGGAGAAGGCAATTGGTGAGGTAGCGGAGGATCAGAAAAAGGAAATCATCGCGGATATCTTCCGCGAAATCCGCGGGCTGGAGGAGCAGTTGAATGAGAGAATGGAATGGGCACAAGACAAGGCTTTCCAGGCGGCGGGAAAGCTGAGCTGTGATTTGTCAGAGCTTAGAATTTTGAGGCAGGATAGAGAAGAGACACTGAACGCAAAGAGTACGAGGCAGATTATGGATGATTCCTCGATAAAGAAAATAGAGGACATGGAGGACGCTCTAAGGAAGGTAAGCATAGAGGTTGATAGAGCGAACGAGGTGGTCCGTAGGCTGGAGTTGGAGAACAAGGAGCTAAAGGCGGAGATGGCAGCATCAAAATTGAGCGCGTCAGAGTCAGCAATGATGTCAATGGAGATAGCGAAGCGGGAGAAGAAGTCTATGAAGAAACTTGCCGCTTGGGAGAAGCAGAGGATAGAGTTGCAGGGAAGCATAACAGAGGAGAAGAAAAAGGTTGAGCAGTTGCAGCAACACTCGACTCAGATGAAGAAGGCGAAAACAGAAATGGAGGTTAGTGCGGCTGTTGTTTATGATTGTTTCCACATTACTATACTTTGCAATTTTAATGTTATGCATTTAAAGGAATTATTGTAGCGTGCCTTATTTATTTCCATCATCTATTTCCCAGAAGCTCTTCACTACGGATCCAACTGGTAAATATTCTTCTCGTTAGTTACATCAGAGAGAAGTCAATATATATATATATATAAACAAGAGTCAGTTGAATATGACGAACTTTAAGCAGAGTGACCCCCGACTATCCCTTCTACAATCCACGACCAGAAGTCACATTTAGGGCAATCTCGTTGACTTCCTAAAGATGTCTTCAGTATCTGAGAGAAATGACGGGTGTGGAAGGAACCTTTACGTATGGGATGGAAGCCACTAACCTGTCACATATACTATTTTAGGCTTCAATCACCCTGTGGATTTGAGATTGAGATGTTGTATTGTTGTTCCGCCTACTGGATAGGCCTAGAGTTATGGCTACCGATTTTATTCAATTTTCTAGTCTTTACGAAACATTCAGCCTGACTGATGAATTTACTCTTTGATACATCGTGAGAAAAAATAATTTTAGATTGTCGGAATGATATTCTAAAATCTATTGAACATGCACTCCTAGGACATTTTCGAACTAATGACTTGGAAAAATTAGAGGATGTAGGTAGTGCCCTAAACATGTCGAGGAAATACCTTCAGTCTCTAATCAACCTTTGAACTACTTTCTATTCAGTTTGAAAGAAGCTATTCAATGACATGACAGGCAATGGTGCTACACCACTTTGGGAAATAATGGTGGCACAAAACGGTGTTCTATTCCATCATGATCAAGACAAGTATCGTTGTCAATGCGGTTCCCATCAAATGGGAATATCAACATGGATCACATGTCATGTTCTTATTCAGATAATTTCAATTTTTTTCCCTCTCCATCTTTGTTCTTCATAGTTATCGCTTTCCTCTGTTAGAATTGTACCCAAAAGAAAATCAGATGAGTGGACATAATTTGGTGCTCGTGCCAATCGTCTTCTCGGGTGTGCAACAGATTCCAAACCAACCAATTCCAATGACCTTACATGCCTCATCACTGTGAGCGTCGCTCTCTCTATAATAGGCCACCTGATCTCTCCATTTCTTAACCTCTTCGTGTAACTATTCTTGTTTATTACTTGACCCATCCCATCTCATCCGTGTAGCCTCTTCCTAGTTGTTCAACATTATGTGCCGTTAATATTTCCAGTCAAATTGTCATTTGTTTCATAAAACTTTTCCCTTAGTTTTTATTTTACCGGCAAGAAGCAGTATTGCAACGCGTCCATGCGTGGGTTATCCATTTTGACACTGGAGCTGTATTCCTGTGGATTAGACACCCATAGAATCTTAATGGAGCGTCCATGCGTGGGTGCTCCATTCGCTTTCTTCTTTATTGACTCCACACCTCTCGCATCCATCCTGAAGCTGCTAGATCGTCAGGCGAAGAATATCCCCATTCTGTCTGTCGTCTTCAAGTGCTATCCTTGTAGTGTTTCTACTCTTTCTACATGCAGTAAATGCCTGGAAGTAGTAAGTCGATAACTGAAAGGTTTTTTATTTCCCGATGTCTTGTTGTTGTTGTTGTTGTTGTTGTGGTTGTTCTATCTCTCTGCAGGGGAAGCTGAGGCAGGAGATGAAGGCCAAGGAGGAGGCCGTGGCGCGGGGGGAAGAGGAGCGCAAGGCCAAGGAGGCCTGCGAGGGCGGGATCAGGAGGAAGCGCGACGCCCTGCGTCGCAAGGTCGAGGTCGACTTCCAGCGCCACCGGGACGACATCCAGCGCCTGCAGGACGAGCTCGCCCGCCTCAAGTCCTCGCCGCGGCCCGCGGCGCTGCGCTCTCCTCTCCCGACGCCACCGCTGCCGCCGAGCCCTGTCGCCGCCGCCGTTCGGCACAGGGCGCCCGTCCGTGCGGCCGCGGCGGAGGCGGCGGGCCGGAGGGAGTGCCTGACGTGCCGGCGGGAGGTGTGCGTAGTGTTTCTGCCGTGCGCGCACCAGGTGCTGTGCGCCAGCTGCAGCGATAACCACGAGAAGAAGGCCCGGGCCCGCTGCCCCACCTGCAATCTCCGCATCCAGCGGAGGATCCGGGTCTTCGGCGCCACCGCATAGCCCCAGGCAGTGCGGCATATCACACCTTGACGGCCCTCTCCCTCTCTCTCTCTCTCTCTCTCTCTCTCTCTCTCTCTCTCTCTATCTCTGAAAGTGGTGAATAGGTTCGAGATATGAGAGGCTTCCCTAATCCAGGGAACTCGTTTGATGATCTCAAAAATTTCCTTGGTTCGCCTCCGGAAGTGTAGAGAAAGAGAGTGAAGGATTTATTTAAAAGGATGAGCATGAGAGGGGTGGTGGCCCAGGGGGAAGTAGAAGGATAAGAAGCGTGCGTCCCGTATTAATGGGAAGGCGGAGACTATCCCTTTCGTGTCCGTCTCCGGCGGGCTTCGTCCATGGCGGCGGTGGCGGCAGCGGCAGCGGCGGCTAGACCCATCCTGAACGGCTTCTTCAATCCCTTCGAGTGGGGTAGGGGCGGCAGGAGGAAGGCGGAGCAGCAGAGGCCGGAGCTCAAGTACCACAACGTCGACCTCCCCTTTCCCTCGTCTCTGCTCTCCAAGACGCACCTTGAAGGTATCGCCAGCGAGATCGAGAGAGAGGATCTAATGTTAGTCTCGCTGCTGAGGGGAGAATGAAATGGAAATTGGGCAGGAAGGGAGCTGCGGTGCTGCTACAGAGCGACGATGGACGGTTTCAGCGCCACAGCCTTCCACGAGAGCTGCGACTTCCGGGGCCCGTGCGTGGTAGTGGGCTACACGGAGGACTCGTTCAAGTTCGGGGGCTTCAACCCGGAGGGCTATCGGAGCACCGACGACTACTACGACACCTTCGAAGCCTTCCTCTTCTACTGGGCGCACCCCGGCGGCGCCGCCGACTCCACCCCGGTGATCCTCCCCAAGGTGGGCGGCAGCGGTGCCGCCCTCTTCGACTACGCGAGGGGCGGCCCCCAGTTCGGCGCCGACGGGCTCCTCATCGGCCCCCCGCTGTCGCCGGTGATGGGCGTATTCACCGGGCCCGACGCCAGCTCCGGCGCCGGCGACCTCCGCCGGGCCAAGTCCCGGCTGGGCCTCTCCTACGCCAAGAGGCCCGACGGGAAGTCCTCCCTCTTCGGCGACGACCAGAGGGCCGCGCTCGCGGAGGTGCAGGTCTTCTGCTGCCCCCGAATCGCCACCCTCTACCGACAATAATAGGAAAATGTAATGAAAGAATGAAAGAATCTACAATATTTTGCAGACATGCCCACCGATTATATCACCCGGGAAATTCATAAAGTTTTGACCTTTTGAGAAGTAATCAATACAGGTAACAACGGACCAAAGCGATTGATTGGACTTGGAACTTGTACGGATGACTGAGAGGGAGGATGAGGCTGCGGATAGCCACCACCAGTGGCTTCCCAGCCAGCCAATCCACACGACGGGAGAAGAAGGGAGAAGAGGGGGGAGTATAAAGATGCCGGGCCTCATCCTATCCCTTCTCCCTTGTCCCTGCCGCCTGCACCTCAGCCAGCCACCGACCCAGCGAGTGAGGTCGGAGTGACAGAGAGGGGAAGAAGATAATGGCGATGCGGCTGTGGGCTTCCTCTATGGCCAATGCCCTCGGCGTCTCCCGCGCCGTCGCCGGCGCCCCTCTCCACCCCCCCTTCGCCTTCTCCCGGTGCTTCTCCTCCGGTACTCTCTCTCTCTCTCTCTCTCTCTCTCTCTCTCTCTCTATAACTTGGTGGGTTACGCGCAGTTCTGGAGGGGCTGAAGTACAGCGCCAGCCACGAGTGGGTGAAGAACGACGGAGGCGTCGCAACGGTCGGCATCACCGACCATGCCCAGGTGGATATCCTCTCCGACCCTTTCCTCCTCCCGTCTTGGTCATGAATCTTTCCGCCGCCGCCTTCCCTCTGAGATTTCTCTGTTGTGTTCTCCTCGCCGGCGGCGGTCAGGACCATCTCGGGGACGTGGTGTTCGTGGATCTGACGGATCCCGGGGCCGCCGTCTCCAAGGGTGATTCCTTCGGGAGCGTCGAGAGCGTAAAGGCCACCAGCAGCGTCGACTCCCCCGTCTCCGGCGAAATTGTAGAGATCAACACCAAGCTGAAGGAAACCCCCGGCCTGGTAAACCCCCGCCTTCTTCTCTGGCGCAACCGACGGCCCCGCCGGCTGGAAATAATCTCCCATTCTCGGCTCCTCCGCAGGTGAACAGCAGCCCCTACGAGGACGGCTGGATGATCAAGGTGAAGCTCAGCGACCCGTCGGAGCTGGACTCCCTCCTGGACCCTGCCAAGTACACCGAACACTGCGAGGCCGAGGACGCCGCTCACTAGCGGCGCCGCCCGGTCGCCGGCGAGCTACTCCGTCGATTCCCCACCGTCCCGCGCCCCTATCTCCTGGTTCATCTCTCGGCTCAGAGAGAAAGAGAGCCCCCCCCACCCCCTCTCCCCAGAATCCCTAATGAAACTGTGCATTTGCAGCATGTAATCCTTCCTTCTCTCTACTACCCTGCTCTCTGCTCGCCCGCCTGCTCTTTCATATCTCTGCGGCTTCCCGGAATTCTCTCTCTACATCCTACGCCAGCGACTACCGACGTTTGCAGGGTACCATATACCCGCACGCAACATAACTATATGCACATAACCACGCCGTCTTTGGCCCCTTCACCTCACAGAGTTTAACTGGGCGGCCAAAGAACGACGGTCATTTTGCATAAAAACCCATTTCCTCGGTCCTTTGATAAGGCTCGAAAACTCAAAGCTCCGTCTCCGCCGTCGGCCGGAGGAGGAGGAGCAAAGACCAGGCCACCGGGAAATCATAAAAAGGCGTGATCTTCCGATAGATACAAAGTTCACGGCCCCCAGCGACCGGAAGAGCTGGAGCACTGTTCTGCTCCGGCGACGCGGAAGCAACTGCGGACCAAGAACAGGTATTATTACAGGCGACTCTCTGGCGGAGAATCAACACATCACGTGTGGAGATTCTCCGGCGACGGCGGCAGCGGCGAGGCCTTCGCGTCCGGAGACTTGGAGTCGGAGATGGAGATGAGCCTGGTTCGGTACTCCTCCTCTCCGACGCCGGCACCGCCGCCGCCCGGCGGGTGCTCCGGCGAGAGGTGCGCCGCCGCCGGGGCCTCTGCGGGAGTGGACTGAGAAATGGCGATGAGCGACTCGCGGGCGGACTCTTCGGCGACCTTCCTCTCCGGCGACCCAGCGTCCATGGCGATCCTTCCCTACCTACCGACAACAGCACAGAGTAGATTCAACGTTGGCATAGATAATTGCACCGGTGACTGACCGGCGAGAACCCCGGAGAAGCTTCCCCCATCTTCCTTGCTTATCCGATCCCCACCCGGCGGCGCCGCCGGAGAGCATCGAACTCCGAATATCAAGGACGAGTTGACCGTGCGGGGAAACAGGGTTGACGAGCCAGCGGATCAAACCAAATCCAGGAGGTCAAGGTCTTTGCTGTCTGCGGGCAGGTCTGAATGGAGCGAGAAAGATAGGTTTTCCAGGGATTCATGGCGGAGATCTCAACCAGGCTATGGATTCAGCGGGTTGAACTTTGGAGGAAGAAACGTAGCAGGCTCATGCCTGCGTTTGATCAGGAGAAGCCCACCTAGGGGAGGAAGGATGAGGAGCACGGACGGAACCCTAGAAGACAACCGTATAATCCTCCTCTAGGGTTTGATGCCATTCCCATCTCCTGGCAGATCATGCAGAACCCTCGCTCCCCAATGGGTCATCATCTTCTTCCTCCTCGAGTGGGTAGGTCGATAGATCGATCTCCCGTCGAGAAGCACGAGCCCGAAGAGCTCGAGAGAGTAGAGATTCAGGATCTCTTCCCCCATCTCCCGCAGGCGATTCCCCTCTCCCACCCCCTCGCCGGCGGCAGCGAAAAGGAGTCGCCGGCGGCGAAGATGGAGCACCCCGCCGCCGCCGGCGCTAAGGGAGCTCAAGGAAGCGGAGAAGAGATCAGAAACAGGCCACAATCAGAATCATCTCCGCCAGTGAAGAGATCCATCTCACCGTCCACAGCGGTGGCGCTGATGCCGCTCAAGGAGGCGGCCACTGAGGTCGGCGGCAGCGCTGTGGCGGAGGAGCGAAGCTCCGCCGGAGGAAGAAGGGAACAGAAATAGGAAACTGAGAGGGCCGATCGAAGAACGTACCCTTTGCCGAAGACCTGCAGAGTTCTCCTCCGCTCCGCTTCTCTCGGTCGGTTCCTTCCGACAATCGAACACCGCCGCAGCCGCTGGCCGCTCCGCCAACCCTTATCGCCGTCGCCCGTTCGAACCAGCGAGTGACCTCGATTCGCACGGGGGAGGAATATAGACAAATGGAAATAGAACACGTGGCATGATGATGTCCCTCTTTATGGCGGTTCAATCTCCAGCGGTCCCCAGAAAACGATATGAACGGAAAAAAAATTCCATAAATAGTTTTGAAGAATTGATGGACGGTCATTCGTGGACCGGGTCCTTCTTACCTGGCGGGCCCCACAGTGAGTCAATGAATTCAGCGGAGAGCGTCAATGGCGCCTATTGGGTCCGGCGACTCGGAACTCTGCGCCAGGTCGAAGGCCCATTAAAAACTCTTAGGTTCAGTCTGATCCCTGCAGTGGCCGGAGCTCGTTCCTCTTCCATTTATGTGAACGTCGTCTCTTTCTCTCTCTCTCTACCCTCAGTGTTCTCCTTTGCATTTGTTCATCCTCATAGGCTGGCAAAATAGCAACATACCCACGAGGAGTTGCACCCCTGTTGAGGTCCTGAGGTTAAGAGCACAGAACCACAACCTCATGGATATATTTCTTAGGGAACTCACATGTGAGAGTAGGCACGTACAAGTGAACAAGAGCATAAATCAGATAAAGAATGGGATTTCGTGATGTTTCCCTTTCTAGCACAATAAATTAAGTAAGCTTTCATAATTATATTTTACTTTTTGTTGTCTCACTGATTATAATGTGTTTATCATTACTTTATCAGTATAAGATATTCTATAAGTATTGACACTTTCTACAATAATATGTAAAATGATAATTTTATATGATGAAATCAATCAAATATATAAATTAAGTATTATTGATCAAAAGTATATTCAGTGAATTCTCATCTAAATGTTTAATATTATTATATTGAATTATATAAGTACTTGTGAATATTATTCAAATATTATCCTCATGTGAAGTATATTTGTGATTAAGCAAATTTCAATCTTTTAATTGAGCTTATGACTATTTCTCATCATCAAAACATTATTCATTTGATGCTCCAACATTATTTACTCTTAGACTTAAAAAATAAAATTAAGTCACCTCTAGGATTCTTAATTCATTTTTATAAGAAATTTTAGTTAATATTATTTTTTAAAAATTTTACACGAGAAATTTGAGAGGACCTTAGAGAAAGATTTCAGTGAGATAATGGCCTTAAGATTCTTTTAATTATGTCAAAAATTATTTAATCATTGAGTTGAAAGTTCCTTTAGAAGTTGAATAACTTTAGACCTTTGCATTCTTGTAGAAAATGTTATTGAGAAAGAATTAAAAAACTCAACAATTACTCTCAATTAGAATATGTGATGTAATTTTAATGGGCTTAAATGATTATTTGGCCAAGTTGGATCCCATTTAATATTTCTTGTTCTTATTCTATTTATACATAAAAATTTTCCCTCATATCTCAAGAATAACATTAATGACATTAATATTGAAACCATCTCTTAGTGTTGATACATCCAATGCCATAGTACTCTAGGAAATGTTAGCATAAGCAAGGGCAAAGGGCTGTCCATATTATGTTCATTGTAATTTGCATGACTATACGATTGAAAAATGTTCTAAAATTCATAGTTAGCTAATTGGCTAAAAAATGAATTAAAAAAATTATACTGTCTATTAATTAAACTTCATTTGAAACTGAATCTTTAGGAATGAGTGAGAAAATTAGGTGATAGTATTAAATAGTCTATTTACAAAATTTATAGTGTCAATTACTTTGTAACATCACATTGCATTAAATATTATATATATATATATATATATATACATGTTATATTCCATTCTTAGTACTAGCACCACCAGTTGACCTTTGTACTAGAATTACACTAAGAGTTTAACATCACATTCAACCATTTCTTGGTAGAGGTGCTAAAGCTAATGAATAAATGATAGTGCTAAAGTATACTATTATTAGAAACTATTAAGTTGGAGCATAGAAAGTGTGGTTCTCAATTACCAATTCAGTTCCTAATGTCATGAGAACTAGACAAGTATGAAACCACTAGCAATATCTAGTCATTGGTGGATGAGTATCTTGAAACAAGATAACTCTTGAAACAATAAATGTCATTTGTGGACTAAACCACTTAAACATGTATGTAACTTTTTGTCCTAAGTTTGTTTATCTTTTTGTTGTCATTATCTATTCAGCACCATAGTAGATTAGAAGGGTTAACTTTAATTAGAATGTTATTCTTTGTATACTTAGTAGTTCACATATAAAAAATATATCTTTCATTTCTATTATACCTCTACATGTAATTAGCATATAAATAATAGAACATACCAGAATCAACTAAATATTTAATTTAACAACACAAGTGATTAGATCTATCAACCTTGACCTCTAGAATAAATCAACTATTGTCAAATCATTATACCTAGACTCATCCACCTAAAGGGTTCTACTCACCAAGTTCATCTAAATTGAAATATAATTAGATTACTATTGAAAGACTAATTCATCCCTCCTCTTGATTTGGGTCTTCATGACACGTTATATTCTTTGAGGAGTAAATCTGAATGGCCAAAAAGTTTATGACAACATTTGTAGGTCACATGAGCTAGTGTCTCTCACCTTATCAATGACAAAAATATTTCAAAGTTAGAAGAATATCTTTTTGTAATATATTAGTTAATGTACATGAAAGGTTACCTCTTAAGGTGTTTAGTATTCTAAGATCAATTTGAAGGTATGTTTACCAAGAAAATAGAGATAAATTTATACATGAGTGCTAACCTTAATTGTATTGTGAAAAGGATGGTAAAAGTTATATCAATATTTCATGTTGTAGATTAGTTAAAAAAAATCATGAGATTGTGATGGAGTCCCTAAGACTAAGGGTTCAAAACACGAATTGGTTTAATAAAATAAACTTGTTATGTACAAAACTTTAAGAGCTAAGACTTTGGACAGCTTCTGTCAAAAGGCCATGAATAGCTAAGCTACCAAAGAGAGAAAGAGAGAGAGAGAGAGAGAGAGAGAGAGAGATAAAATACAATAACTAAGTCCTTCTCGAGTCTTGGGATCACCAATTCAAAATGACGAGTTGACGCAACTTAGTCCTTGTACAATAAATCACGTAAATTTTAAAATTTTAAAACTAAAAAATATGAATTTTTAGATGTTTAGAAGTATTTCTGAATAAATATATCAATTATAATTTAATAAAATTATCAAAAATAGCGATAATTTTCCAGGTCAATCATAGGGATGTAATCTAATATTTGGTAATTATTCAGAATTGTTTTCAAAGAATACTAGTTTTTATGAATTTTACACTAAGAAATAAAAAAGAAATATATTTAAAATTCACAAAAAAGAGAAATAAAGGTGCGGACATCAGGATAACATCAGCACCCAGTGAGCATGAGTCTAGAAGAAACAAAGTTCCGTTCAATGATTTTTACGTAAGTGATTACATACGATTTAATTGATCAAATTAAGATCTATAGAAGCTAGAAGAATTGTAATGAAATGAAGTATATCTTAGTAAATTTTAAATCAACAAATTATCACTAAATGAAATGAAAATTAAGTTGAAAGTAGGAAAATAGAGTTCCAACATCGCGGCGATGATGCATTGGTGATGCACCAGAATCTTGAGTCTTCGAGAGGATCGTCGTATAATGTCTATGGCCTTAAAAGCTCTCTTTGGACAAAGTCAACTTGGGCAATCTTTAAATCTTCTTGTAAAGTCTAGAGATTAATAAAATAGGTTGTCAAATTATCTCCGACAGTTGTCACCCGGTGGAGCGAAAAAAAACAACTTTGCAGCTCTCCAACGACTGTCACCCGATGAAAAAGAGCTGAATAGAGGTGGGGCGCATGTCAGGGAGCTTCATCCTCAGATCTATGCAACAAGAGGAGGCTCTTCATCACATCTAGTATGCTCTCAAGAGGTGGTGACTCATCTTCCAGTGGATCGTCCTCTTCTTGGA